AGTGCCCAGTGACAGGACAAGAGGCAGCGGGCACATGAAAGTCCATCTGAACATGGAGGAATGCTTTTTTCACGAGGAGGATGGTCAAACACTGGCACGGGTTGCCTAGAGAGGTTGTGGAGTCTCCATCTTTGGTGATATCCAAAACCTAGCTGGATGCAGTCCTGGGCAACCAACTCTAGGTGCCCCTGCCTGAGTAGGAGGGTTGGGCGAGATGGTCTCCAGAGGCTGCTTCAAACCTCAGCCATTCTCGGATTCAGTGATCCTTGCTGTGAGCAGGAGACACATAACTGGATCACACCTCATATTTCCCACATGGCTGGTATCCACGTTGTGCTGCTGCAGCCCCTCTCTCTCTCCCCAGCCCTGGTCCTGGCTGGTTGGCCTGGCCCATGCCTGGCATGTTGAGCAAGTGGTGTCCGAGCACAAGGGAAAAAGGGTTCTGAGCCTTGTTGTTATCACTTAAAAGCAGCAGCAGCATAACATAACACCTGGCCCTTCTCTCTTGTGAAGATCAGATCTCCCAGCCCATGTCCCATCTCGCATTAACATCCTTGAAAAGATCTGTGCTTGTTCACCCTATTTTAGGGGACATCGGTTGGCTTTTGAAGGAAGACCGTATCAGGAAAGGGCAAATTACGTTTCATTTTTGGTAGAGCTGTGCTCGCTTCAAATTGGAATGGAGTTTAGGCTTGGGAGCTTATGTCAGTGCTATTCAAGAGCCAACATTTTCCACAGGCACATTGTAGAGGATGTGGCTGCCTCGTCTCCAGCTCAAAATAGAGAAGAGAATGCAGACTCTTACCATCTTTCTTTTGTGTTGTCTGTTCTCTCTGGTAGGGTGTTGAGTGCTGCCTGGCAATGGCAGACTGCCTTTAGCTCACATTGACTTCACTGCAAGATAGTTCCTGATATATACCAGTGTTCCTAAACACACTTCATGACTCACTTCAAATATGTCATCCAATGGAAAGTCAAGAAGTAGATTAGTTTAAGCCGATAAACTTCAGTCAAAGTAAATATGGAACTTTATTTAAATCCAAGAATCCCTCCTTGGAGTTGATTGATGCGTATGTTCTTTGTTTTGCTTTTCAGAAACCAGAAAGCACTTAAATAGTAGTGTCCTGCAATGTGTCCCTCACCCCTTTTGTAATGCAGATCTGCAGACTGGATGTATTTTGTGGAGCACATTGAAATCTTCTCATGAGACTGACCATCATTTGACCTGTACTTCTGGTCTGACTGGCTTGCTGGCTGTGGGTCACATCTGCTGCTCTCACAATCCGTGAAATACTGCATTGAAATGGAAATGGCAGTGCCCTAATTTTTTTGTGCCTCAAGTTTTTATTTGCAAGATGTATTAAGCTGCTCCCCTGAGCACAGATGCATAAAGAACACTCATAACATTTGATCATTTTAGTGCCTTGCCATTAATTTCCCACTCTTTCTCTGTGCCACAAACTGACTTCTAAGATATATGTTGAACTGCATCACAGATAGTTACATATTAATCATTTTATCGCTCAATTTCAAGTTCTCTGGAAATAGGAATTCCCAGGGGGAAAAAGGTAGAGTCGCCATCCAGTATATCAGGATAAACCAATATCTGGTGAAGGAACTTCGGTATTTGTCACTTTTAAGGTACAAATAATACTATGTGGCTCCATTTCCTACATTTGTTGGCATTCTTTTTCAACAGGTGAGTTTTAAACTCCGACTGTACCTGCTAGCCATGCAGTCAATATAGTGTGGAAAACATGGTATAGCTTTATATAAGGTTCTTGATATGGTCCCCTTTGTACCTGTCATAGGTAATAGCATTATGTGTCTCCAGAGAACCCTCTTTAGAAATTGCATGTAATTCTCATGCTGTGAAATGTATGCTAAGAAAGGAAATCTTTGAAAGAAATTGCCATGTAATGATTTCTTCCTACCTGTGTGCTGAGGCCCATCTGAAATCAGAGAAGGGAGAATCTTTACTAATTGTTTTTGGAATTGTTTTAATTGTGAAGTACACTTGAATGGAAAGCATGTTTGTTCAAATCCACATTTCTACCCGGTTCTTAGGAGCTGAGCAGATTCTTCACTGACTGGTTGGTACCTTGCATCTTCTTATTTCTGAGGAATATAACACCTCAGATGAATTTTCCGACCTTGTCCTTGGACGGCTCATTCTTCTTTATGCTTCTTCTCAATTTTTTATACCTTTTAACTGAAAAAAAAGTTCTTTCTTATTTCCATGAAGTTGAAAAAACTGGGTCTAGTTTAAACCAAGTTTTTATTACCAGTGCTTCCTATTATTTGGATGGTGCTTGTACTTTAAGGATCCAGTCCTTCTTATCCTTTGTATATAGTAAAAAAGTTGCTGAAGTTAATTGTTCAAGCATGAAATGAGCCAATAGGCAGATTTAATATTTCTGTGAAATAGCGGTTCCTCCTTGATTTGTACATTGTAACTGAAAGTGCGAGCTGGTTGTTGTGAAGACACCTGAATAAGGGAGACAGACCTCCTTTAGCCTTTGGTGGTTAGAGAAGTGTTGTCCTCATCCCACCTTTATCCAAGAGCAAAATTCAATGCTTGCTGTGACTTCTTGTGGAGTCTTCCTATAGAGTGAAATTTCATTAAATTTAGTTTTCATTTTCTCATGGAAATAATAGCTGTGTATCTTGCATCACTTCAGGTGTTATCCTAGATTATAGTATAAATGACCTGCTGATCTCCTTCTGATTGTTCAAGTTATTCAGCAGTGAAGTCAGACGACTCTTTGCTTAACTGACAGATTCAGGGAACCGAGATGGACGGTCTGTGGCAGCCTGCACCAGCGCGATCACTGGCTGCTCCCATCCTGCCTGCTCAGTCCTTCCTACCCTTCCCGTTGGAGTCCTGACTTTTTCCTCACACTCCCTTGCTCACCTGGCCCTGCCTTGTGCGATGGCAGAGTCAGAGTAAAGCAATTAGCTCTTTTTTCTGCTGGCTTGGTACACTGAAGTGGCTCGACACAGATGAGTGGAGGAGCCAGGACATGGCAGGGAATGAAATCAGGGTGGGAAGGAGAAGATGATAGAGGCACGGGCCCTCATGAAAACACCTGGTATATGTAGACATAGTTTGGACAAAACTTCATTGAAGTTATCTCAGAATTAAAGAACTGGGCCAGAAGTCTTTGAATGCTGAATTGTGGAGAGCATGGCCTTGTTGTCTTCTAAGAAATGTAACATCTCAGAACGTTCTGCCTTGCACAAGGTGCAGGACTTGGTGTGCTTGGGATTCCCCAGCGGCTGGGCTGAGAGACCCCGGGAGCAGGCGCGGTACAGGCAGAAGCACTAAACATTCAGGGTGCTGCTGTGAGGTTATGCTCCAAACCAGGGGGCAGGAGCATATCTGGGGAGACAGGGACTAGGCAATGTCATGCATTTTCAAAGGCAGATGTAACCTCCATTCTTGAGAAGCACTGATCGTGATCTAGCCTGCACCTCAGAGTCCTGCCTTCCCTCCCCTGTATCTGTTTCACGGGTGGGAGGAGATGCAGGCTCACTCCAGTGCAGAAGCCTGGCACTGGCTTGGACCGAGCGTCACTTACAATGCCAATATCAGCTACTTGGACTTCCACAGAAGAAGTAATAGAGCTGGACTAGATGTAACAATAGCTTAGCCACTTACGTGGGAAAGGATCCCAGAGCACTGACTTTTCTCTTTGGAGCCGCCTTTTTGAGGTGGTTCACTGTCGCAACATTGTCGTGGCTGTTTGGATGGAGTTCGGCCAAGGTGACAAGTTACTGTGAACTTCTTGTGAAGTTCTTAGGTGTGTGGAGAACTTTTGGTTGCCCTGGAGGGTGCATATGTTTGGCGTGTCTGCTTAGAACCAAGCAGGTGAAACTCAGTTAAAATTACAGCAGGGAGAATCTAAGCTATGTTGTTTGGGTGTTGGTTTTGGTTTTTTTTTTTTTTTCCTTTTAATCTTAAGAAAATTGTTCTGATAATGGATACAGTTGGTTAGGAGTTTGGAAGATGAGTGTGCAGGAAAGGATGGTGCAGTCTTGAAGTGCTGGCTTCCTCAGATAGTTTTTTAATGTCTGGGATAAACACTTGTAATGTGAATCATTACTGCTTCTGGCTGACTTTGGATGAACTAAAAATTACAGTGACAGAAAGCATGCATTGACAAAGTCTGTAATAAGAAAATATTTGGGTATATCCTAGGTAGATTTATTTTTATCACCCAGGTTAGCCAGGCTGGTAGAAGCAGCAAGATTAGTAAAATAAACAAGTAGCTTTAGATTGAAAAAATGAAATAGCTTTTGTCCTTTGCAAGCCTACAACTGAAAGAAGTTGTATAATAATGCTTTATAGTTTTATGTGACAATGTTAACATATTAAAGCTTTATACCTATTGTATCAGGGGTGGGGTGAATTAATCAATTCCTCCAAATGTTTATATTATTTGCTATGATACTACCTTGTAGTCTGCTAATACTCCTGCTCTGTAAGTGGTAGAAAAGGAAGGGTAGAACTGTTAGCTCACTTGCAGCCAGGTCCACCAATTTTGCAGTGAAAAGTGTCACTAAATGGAAGCAAAGGTGCATGTGTTCATGGGCGCCTTCACTTTTATGGCTTACAGTGATTTTCTTCTGAAAGTCAGTGGGGCTTGGATGCTTCAGTCACAGGTGCCACTCCAGGCATTCAGTGCCTCTTCTCTTTTTGAGATGTCTTGTATTGTACATAGAGGCTTCTTCAGGTTGTATTCTTCAGGCTGAAGCTGTTGCTTTCTTTCTAGCAGTTGCTCTTCCCCCGCTCCTAATGGTGTTTTAGCTCATTTAACAGCAAATTCTAAAACTTTATTACCATGCTCGTTACTTTGCCCTCCGTTTTGTTGGGATCATCCAATTTACATTAGATATTTGTCTTCCATTTCTAAGTGCCATTTTGTTGTGTTTAAAATAATCTCCACAGCCCTCTGAGTGCCATTGTAAAAATCTTTAATGTTCCTTTTGTCTTTCAGATCTCACTGCTGGTTGGATTCATCAGTGTAAATAGTTCTCCATGGACAGATTACAGTGCATACAGCTACTTTCAGATTGTCACCATGTGCGACTTGGTTATGATTTTCTTCTTCTACATTATCCACATTTTTAGAATCTACAGGAAGCTCACTTGCGTTAGCTGGCCACTTGCGGTAAGCCTGTTAGATGCTTTGGGTTCCTTGACTCTCTTGTGGGTTGTTGACTCGATCACTTAGTCTGTTTTCGGCTGTCTTTCGCATAATTCTTTTTTGCCTTCTATACACATCCTTTTGTTGCTTTTATTATTAATAGTCAGTTGGGCAGGTGCTGTAATTGTAAGTTTTTTATTCGATTTGGATCTGATCCTGCCCTCCTTTACACAGATATAAATCCAGATTTACTCCAGGGAAGGCAGTAGTCTTATTCTCAGACATTTGAAAAGAAGCTACTGATTATTGAGCCTTTAGCAGATGGGTCCTAGCTCAGGTCATTTATAGCAGTTAAGGGATTTCTAGAGTACCAAATCATAGCATTAGAATTTATGTACTACATCCTGTCCCAAAATAATGTCTGAGAGTGCTATTTAAGTTGAATATGTCTCTTTTTGGTATGGTTTTAGGTAATTTAAACAATAGGAAGAAATAGGAGCCTCAGCTTGATTGCCATAGCCTGGCCATCCCTGGGATATCCTGCAGGATGTTCCTGCCTCATTCCCACATTTCCCCTGCACATCCATCTCTCATTTCCTAGCAGAGAACTATCAAGCAGCACAGAAAATGTGAGACCTGAACTTCCTCAGCAGCTTTGGGTCAGGTCAGCTAACAGAAGAGTCCATCATCCTAGTGTGGGATGACATTTTAATAGCCTCTTAGAACGTGTCTCCCTTATGCATAGTGACGTTTTAGTTCCACAGAGGAAGGACCAAAGGGATGGGGAAAGCCAACTGGAGAGGTATAGAGGGATTTTGAAATTCAAGAAGTGGTTGGATGGCGTTTAATGGAAGCTATGTAAGTGGTTTACAAATCTAAGATAAGTTTGTCTGTCCATCCACTTCTACCCAGAGAGAAAAATTTAATTTTCTTTTCAGCTGAAGAATATGGTTAGACTTGTTCACCTTTCCATTTTTTCAAACGTGTACCACCACTATCTGTCTTTAGAAAGTACTTCTTTATCTAGAGATAATACAGATGCAGGGATTGGAATAAGCTAATAAATGACAGTTTTGTGAGGCAGCATTTAATGTGTGCATTGCTATAACAGGACAATGCCATTTTGACCACTGCATAGGCCACTCTTGTTTTTTGTTGTGTGTTCAGTCATTCCTAAATGCTCCAGAGTGACTGGTGAGTTTAAGGCACTGCAGCCTGCAGCTGCTCAGCTTCAGACAGCTTTATGGGATGCGATGCTTGAAACTGCTGCTCTTTTACAACCAACTTCCTTTTCAGTCACATAGTTAAGTGTCTTTAGCACGGAATGGGAAGATGTGTAAGAGACTTCGGGAAACTACAGCTAGCATTTGGCTGAGTTTCCTGGCAGGATCATTGCAGTCAGGGGTGTGATTTGCAGTCCGTAAAGTTGCAGTGGTTCAAGGGGCTGTTCAGCACTGACACCTTTTAAAGCTGGGAAGTATTTCTCCAGAGGGGCACTGTCCCAACCCTGCCGGGGGTTGGTTCTCCACCTAATTTAGCCTTTGATGATTTGTTTGCACCTTTGCCCATCCCTCAGATTCCCCTAAAGTAGTGGCCTGTGTACACTGCTTTATTTGGTGTCTCGAAGGAGGCTGCTGCATTATGGACTGGCCAGAGAAGCCTACTTGTGGAAATAATTTATTCTAGCAAAAGCAAGGGTTGAGATCTTGGTTACCTGAAACAAGGTTACAAATGAGGAAAGTAAGTTGCAGTCTCAGAGCCTACTTTATGGCAAAGATCGTCCTCAGCTGTTTATAAATACCTGAGCAGATGGAAACTGTGGTGTGGTATGATACACTATTTCTTGTCTCGGATTTTCATGAACAGTTTCCTTTTGGGACTATATTCTCTCTCATTTGAGACAGACTCTCTCCCTTACACATGGCATTTTCTTGGCTCATGCTGGTAGTGCACTGCAGATAAAGCAAGCAGATACCCTTCTGCCCGCCCCACCATACGTGTTTCACCCTCGGTAAGGTGCCGTGTCAAACTGAAAGGGCTGCATCCATACCCAGGAAGTAGATCAGATTCCAGTGACATTAGTAGACCTGAAGATTGGCCCTCTCTCCTTTTTGAATAGAAAGTCAAATATGGTACAAAATCCACTCATGGGCTGGTGGTTTTGGGTTTAGGTTTTTCTTTAGCTTTTTTATTTTATTTTATTTTTTTGACTAGTGTTTTGTCCTCTGGGTTTGAGTAACCTCTGCCAGCTTGTTTTCATTCTGAGGCATACCAAAATGCTTTCCTGATAAGTCTCCCTTCTGATGCAGGCTGTGCTTGTCTTTACAGGAGTTTCTTCATTATTTAATCGGTACAATTCTGCTTCTCATTGCATCAATTGTAGCAGCATCCAAGAGTTACAATTTGACCGGACTTGTGGCTGGAGCGGTAAGACTGTGTTTATTATTCTTCACACTTTTTAAATTGTAATATATATTAAGTAGGTCACTGGAAATCTATTACTTGTATTTTTATTTTCTTAAAGACTCGACTGGCTGATGTCTTGGTTGGGTGAACTACCTTCTAGCTCATTTCAGTGAATGTTCTGTAACACAATGCCAACAAAAATATTTTGTTGTGAGACTCCAGACTTAACCACTGAAGTGGGTATTTGTCCTGTCAGAGAGTTGGAACCAAAGGCTCCTGCTTTAACTCACAGGAACTAACGTGTTTAGAGGAAGAATTAAGACCATTCAGTTTTGACAAATGGTTGTTGTAGCAGCTAGAAGTTGTCTAAAGGATTTCACCCCAGTCTTTGCCTTTTGACGCCTTCTGCTCCTGAACAGAGCCCTGTTCAAGATAATTTCTCCTGAGCTAAAACCCACTGGGGTCCTGGGCTGACTTACTGGAAGATACTCTCTGCCTCTGTTGGCTGGAGGGCTTTATAGAGAGAGGCGTGACTTCTGAGTGTGGGCAACAGTATTTTCACAGCAGCAGGACCTGAAATACAACTCCTCCAGAATAAAGAATTACTTTCAGAAACTTAGTCCTCGTGATGCAAACAGACTAGAAGACTTACCTGTCTTGTTTCTTTGGCAGATGCCAGGGAAAGACCTGTTTGAATGGGGCAGTAAAAGAGCAGTAATCAGAGGCATTAGAAAAAGTCTCTTCTTTGTTGCAGAATCCTAGTGAGAAGTCTAGAAGGCGAGACTCTGTGCTGCTGTCTAGCTTCTCCCCTCCCACCCTGTAGATGACTCTCAGTCTATCTTTTAGTCATTGTTTTGACAATACAGAAGCTGCTATTATACTACAGAAACTTTTACTTATTTTAGTATATTGGCAGAATGAAGTTTAAAAAAATCACACTTTTGGGTCTGTAAACATTATTAGATATGTAGCTGGATATACAAGAGTCTCCATACATTCATGCAATATGTGTCATCTAATGTTCTGTAAGTATTTGTGGTTTGTTTGTTTTCTCATCCAGACTTTCGGGTTCCTAGCTACAATCCTTTGTGTTTTAAGCATATGGTCATCCTACAAGGTTTCGTGCATCACGCAGTCAACAAGTAAGTGTCATGCTTAGTAATTGTCAGAGTGCTTCCCAAAATGAATATTTATATTTTCTGCCACAGGGCTGTGTCTACCTGGGAAGATTTATTAACGTCCTGCTTCTTGTTACTCAGAATTACTCACAAAGCAATAAATCCGTATTTTCTGTCAACACAGACATATCACAGCTACTGACAGCTGTTAACAACTAACTACAAGAGCAAAATAATTTGCTTCTAGCAAGTAGTGAATGTATCAGTGCTTTCTCTTCTGCTTCCCCTGCTCCCTACCAAAAGGTTTCCTCTGTGTTCTTTAATCAAGTAGATCAATTTGTTTGTGGCAACACAAGTGACACTGTCTTCCTTTTCAAAGATGCCTCCGTATGACTCCTTCATCTCTGCAAGACGTCTGCCTTACAAAATAGGATACCAAAGAGGAGTGTCCACTACTGAGGAGAGAGCATGGGTATTTCCTTACTAGCCTGGACAGCCGGTAGCTTTTGAAGATCTACTAGAATGCCTATGCAAAACAATGTTGTGAACCAAAGTTTTTCCCCCCAACTTCTACCCACCCCAAAGAAGTTTATAATGGAGAACCTGCTTTTTATGAGCTTTACAGAGAAAGACAACTTCTGTCTCACAAGCTGGGCTGTGGTCACTTCCAGCTATTCGCAATAAGTGCATTTGAAACTCATTTGGAGAGTCATTTGGTTTTCCTTTCAGAGGGATGGAAAAATTGCTTCTGATTTCTTCCACCTGTTTACAGAAGGGAAATCCTGAAAATTCCTACCTGATTCTTAACGTCTAAGGATGATTTGTTTAATGAAGGAACTCTTACAGACTGATTTGTGCCTGAATAAGCTGACCCAAGTCTTTGTTACACCTCCTTCTGTCAAAACTGTGGACTTTTTCCAGTGCTCAGTGAGCATCAAACATTATGAAATGCAACTGAATACATCACTGCAAATGCTCCCTCCTAGCCCCAACAGTACATGATGAAGTCAGGTTTTTCTCCATGAATTTTTACAGGTCATCGACAATCAAAGATTATTCTTAAAAACTTCCCTCTGCCAAATACAGAAAAATACATACCCAAGAATATGTGTTTAATGTTTTGTGGGTTCTCTCTTTTTTTTTTTTTTTCTGTTCACAAATATTCATTTGTAAAATGGGTATTTATAAGACCTGTTCTGTAGAAAATTTCTGTGCACTTCCTATAAATTATTCTCTTTGGAGTCTAGCAGTGTTTCTGGAAAGCCCTTTGTGAATGAAGCAATGTGCTCTCTCTCAAGTGCAGTTTGTCCCTTCCTCTGCCTCTGCAAGGATCCATGCTTTCGGAGACTCTGCCCAGACCCTGGACAGGCAGAACAGTTCAGTTTTGTCCAACCTGGTATTGTCATGAAGTTCTGTGTAACTGCAAGGCTGAGGCAATGCCTTCTTGGCACCTTTGTCCTTCTCTCCTTTTGCAGTCCATCTCTGGTGAGCTGGAAATTCTTTGCAGGAAAAAGGGAAGCGCAGGCCCCTTCTCCTCGGGGCTTCCTCTTTCATGTCTAGCTGTGAAGTAGAACTTGTGCTTATAAGTTCATCTCTTCTGTCAGGACAACTGCATGATGGTGCAGCAGGTTTATGCAAAAAGTAGGATTTATACAGTTTACCAGGTCTACTCTGGAGGAAAAAGGCATCTTCTGCCCTGATATGCATTTTTCCACTTGTCTGAAATTCTGCATCAATACTGCTAAGTAATTTAATGGTCCTCTCAGAAAATTCTTGTGCCTCATAGCAGGTCACCATACATTGCCATTTGTTGCCACCTTATTTCTCTCATCCTAATATATGTATTTTTACTTTGATTTTTTTTTTTTTTTTTTTTACTATTTGACAAGAGAAATTGTCCAACTCCTAACGTGTCAAAAATTTTGAGTAAGTAAATGAAAATAACCGAGCAGATAACCTGGGAAGGTAGAAGTCCCCTCCCTCACAGCGCACAGTTCCTGTGATTCTTCTCGCTGTTCCTTTTCATAAGTGCTCTGTTTACAGCAACATAGAGCAGGAAACGATTTGAAAGTGCAAAAATCTGCTGTTTGTAGGTGAAGATACATATATTCACTCCAAGATAAACTGCTTTGACATTACTATGGAGGATTATTCAAATAAAACTATATAACAGGCAGTTAGAATGCTATTAATTTCATACTATTTTTTATTTCTTTACACTGTCCCACTTTGGCCTGCTTTTCTGCAAGCTTTAACCCCTCTTAGGAATCCCGTGGGAAACCAGTGTTCTGCTGCAGATAGTGTGAATGCAGCTGAGGCCTCAGCGCCGATGCAGCAGTGGGGAGAAGCACCTGCTAAAGATTGGGGCTGGAGCCTGAGCTTGCTCTGAAGAAAAGGCTCTTTCCACTCTCTGCTGGAATCGTGCCCTTTCTCCTGGCACTAAGCTAGCATCTTTTTTTTCAGCTTCCCACATCACTCTGTCACTCGTCACCATGTGGAGAAAAAAAAAAAAATTAGGGGGGATTTCATGCGGTCTGACAACCAAAGAATTTCTGAACTATGCTCTGTGATCATCCAAAGAATATGTTTTGCTGCAAGTGCACGTGTTTATGCTGGATCAGGAGAAGTAAATGACAAGTTCCCTTTTGGTTTTTGTGCCTCTCGACAGGGCTGAGGTGTGCCTGCAGCTTTGGCTGTTACGACAGTGCTGGGTCCCTAGACCTATCACATGCTCTTAATGCAGGATGCTTTCAGGCTGGAAAACTGACACTGCTGCTGCCAAAGCTTCCTCGCTTCCCGCAAATCCTCCTTGTGAAACATGTCTATCAAGAAAAGCACAGATTTTGCTGGTATCACCAGCTCTGTCTGGCAGGGACTGTGGCACCTCGCTACTGTATCTCTGCCAGCAAAAGTGTTTTAAGTTTCCTCCCGTGTCAGCCTGGTTCTGAAAGCTCCATCTTTCTGCAACTTTGTCAAATATGGGATTCCAGGTGTTTTAGAAATAAACTATGCTCGCTATTTGGGTGATGTAACTGCTTTGAGAATCAGATTGTTGCCTTGCTCATTTTTCTCCTTCCTCTACTAGAGCAGTGACTTTCTCTCTGGGGAGTGTCAGAATCATCCTATAACTGGAGGACAAGAGGTGGGAGCCGCAGAAAAACCCTGTTCCCCTGATGTTGTGTTTGGATGTGCTGGTCTCTGACTATTGCACCCAAAAGTTGTCTGTCCTCTTCAGCTCCAAGATGAGTGTAGTATATCCTTTGAGACAACACAGGTGGAATTTGGGGTTTTTTACTGAAAACTAAAATGTAAATGTTGGGAGAAGAAAATAGGTATTACAAACTGTTTCATACTGGAAAAAAAAAACAAAGCCTGACGTTTGAGCGCTGTGGGCTTGAGATAAGTTAGAGAGAATAGTGCTTTTGTTGGCTTGAAACTGGGAAGATGCGAAGTGGAAGTGAAACTTAAAGAAAGAGGAAGGGTGGCTTTTTAAAGCTTGAGGACCACACTGCTGGATGAAGACACTGCAGGTTATGTGATAGCTTGCACACTTTTTCTGTTGCTCTGAAATGGTTGTGTTTTGCATTGTGTGAACTATGAAGGAATGTGTTCTTTGCTCCTAAAAGGCTTTGGGAACAAATCACTATGTGGGGTATAGAGGGAATCACAGAACATTAGGATAATGATAACTTTTAATGAAGGTGGGGCAGGGGTGTTGAGTGGTGCTCCAGAGAAGAGGATGAGGAGCTTATTACGACAAAAAGGAGCAGGAGACAAGGAAGGGTGGGTGCAAACATTAATAGAAAGCTTACGAGAGGAGGAACTAAGGTGAGCACATTATGCACTAATAGAAATACTGGCAGATATCAACAGTTTCTGGCTGTGTCAGTACTTAAAGGGCAGACCTGCCTGGAGCGATAGGAGAGTCTCTTTTCTGCTTGCCTGGTATGTACACTTCATACCCTGTGCCTGGCAACTTTGACGTTCTGCTAAAGCTGCGGGAGGATGCACTAAACCTGACCCAGAGGCTGTGGAACATGGCATCAAGTTGCCACATGTTCTGCCCCGTTTAACTGAAAATCGCTTCGGGCTCCACTGTTCTCAGAGACAGCATGGAGCAAAGGGCTGATGTGAGCACGAGAGGCTGCGTTGCTGGCCAGTGGCCTTGGCTATCCCTCTGGCTAGGGACAAAAGTACAGACCTGCTTTTGGACTGAGTGGCACCCAAAAGCCAAGGGGACATGGAGTGACGTATCACTGGGTCCTACTGATGGGCTTGACGCTGGGCTGGCACGCAGAAGGTGCTGCTGGTTGTGCGAGATGGGGAGAAGTGGGTACCAGAAAAAGGGTCCGTGGGTGGCCCACCTCCTGTTCTTCCTGCCTGCAGAGATTTACACCCAGGTGGCAGGAGAGAGCCCTCGCCACAAAGCTCTAGGGTATTCTTAAGCAACCCTCCTGTTTAGGCCCGTTTGGGGTTTCAGACCGGAGCGCAGGTGCAGGCAGCGTGCTCGTGGCTTACCTTCCACTCCTCTGCAGATGCACGGGGCTGCACGCCCGCCGGCCCAGCCCGGTGGGAGCAGGCAGCTCGTGGTTTTGGGGCCGGGTCCCAGGGCTTCTTTAACCCCCCTGCACGGGAAGCAGGATGGAAAGTCGCACTGGTGCTTGTCATCTTCCTCTCCTGGAGAAGGATGAGGACTTTTTTCCAGCACAACCGCAGCTGGAAAACAGGAAAAGCAGTAAGTGCTGTTGGCTGCTCCTTCCTACTCCTGTCCCTTCTAGAGGTCACTGATTACCCACAGCTGGCTACTCCAGGGGTTGTTTCTAGTCTGCCTGTCCCCGAGCCCAGAGGTCCACCAGGCTCAGCTAGTCCCCTGGGTCAGCACTCCAGTTTCTCAGGGCCAGTACGGTAAATACGCGCTGTTGTTTATTACTAGGGACTGACCAGTATACGATGGGTTCCCACCATGCAAGAGCTTGCATCAGAAAATAAAAAAAGAAACCCCCCGTGTTTATAAGCAGCTGATGAAGTAGCTTTATGCTCTTACTGTCTCATATCTGCATTGGCTTACTGGGTTAAGGACTTGCCAATTTATTAAGTATCAAACAAGCTCTCACCGCCTGCCTGGTCCAGCCCCTCTGCCTTGGGGCAGTTGGCAAAAAAAAATCTGTCTGCTTTTAGCCCTCTGCCAAACTTCTGAGCTGCTCTGACAGTGAAATTGAAGCTGTCTGGCCATGCCCAGAGCAGCCCTTCATGCAGGTAGGAAGCTTGAAATTTAGAAGAAAAAAAAATTAAAAATAAAAATTAAAAAAAAAAAAAAAAAAAAAAAAAGAGTTGTGGCATCACAGGAGTTTCCTGCCTCAAGGGCAAGGTGGCTGCCAAGACAGGCTTTCAGTTTTAGATGGAGGCAGAATTTAGACACCAAAATCTCTGGCATTGTTCTGGCTTAGTGCTGTGAAAGCTTGGCTTTAAGAAACCGGTGTTGAGTAGCCAAAGGCAAAATATTGTGGCTGCTTGTTACGTGTGGGGGGAACAGCGGTACGTTAGGGAGGGCTCGTAACAAGGAGGCTGAGAGGGACCTTGCCTTTTGGCTGGGGTGGTGGGGAATAAGGAGGGCAGAGCTAGAAAAAAAAGTGCAGGTGAAGAAGCTAAAATCAAGGGGCCGCTGCAGAGTAGCAACACTACCCAACGTTTCCTGAGTGAGCAGCTCAGAACAGTGCTGTTCCTCAGGTTAATGTTTTTATATCGCTTCCTGAACATGACCCGACCTCCAGTAGCACCTGTTTTTTGCATATTGCTGAACTACAGCTTTACAGAAAGGCACATAAGATAAATATTTTCAAAAGCAGTTTTGTCACTGGGTAAGTGCTAACTGGCTCTCAGCTGAGACTTGTGTTTGAGCGGAGTATGCCCTTCAGAGCACTAGCCAGCCATGAAGGCCAGAGCTCTTGAAGCCGAAGAAAGGATTAGGCCATAGGTAAAATTACTTAAATTAAAAAGCATTTTTGTGGATCCTAGCTTGAACGGAGTTAAATTCAAAATGCTCAAGCTGTTGTAGATTTCATATATTGCTCTTCAGAGGTTTACAGACCTAGAATAACAGCAATGCACAAACCAACCATTTGAAAGGAATAAACTGCAACCTCTAAAGCATTAGCAGAAGGGCAGCAGTCCTGCCCTTCTCACTGTGACAGGAAATTCAGCCAGCAGTGTGAAGTAAGGCAGGAAGGTACAGGTGTCCCGGCGCCAGTACTTGGTGCTACAAAGCTCCCAGGTTGCTCTGACCGTCCCTAAAATGATTTCATCCTGCCTGGTGCACAGAGGCACTGCCACATCCATCACCCCCCGAGCCCCTCGCGCCCGTGACTCCAGAGGTGTGCCCACAAACTGGGACGGTGCAAAGGCAGGCAGGCAGCCGTGCTGCAAAGCGAGCACCTGGGGGAAAGAGGGAAGAGCAGAGCAGAAAAGGAACAGACTGACTGCTCTGTGCTTTGCGTGCGCGGGTATGCACAGCAAAAAAGTAACGTGAGGTGGCGAAGGAAACACCTGCACGTTTCTGTGGCTGATGCAGGGGCTACCAGAAAGACCAGAAGAATAGCCCAGCATTTGAAGTGGACCTGGTGTGTGTGTGGATGATGTGGCAGGCTGAGCAGGGCAGTGGGGTGTTTCTCCCTGCAGGGGTGAATATCCCCAAGCCGCTAATGTAGAGTCATTGCTAAATTCAAGTATGTCTGAACCACTTGTTCTTGTCTTACATGTTTGCACTTGTGTAGGAAGAGCAACAGCAGACAAGCAGCCCTCTTGGCACAGGAGGAATTATAGCAAGACTCAGAAACCTTGGGGGAAAAAAACCCACAAGTGTAGAGGCACCTAACCCATAGGCATACAGGGACAGACTAGAAAATGGGAGGCAGCACCCACCCTGCACCTATTTTTACAGCCCAAAGACAGTAAATACCATTCTCCCAGGGAAAAAGCACAGTGTCTTGGAGGCTGTTTGCGTGGGACTAGCCTTAATACCCAGCCACTCTCCCGTGAGTGTTCAATGAAGAAAGAGACAGGCAAGAGTGAATCACAGCAGCAAGTGACTCAGTGCAGGAGTTACCCGTCCCCTCTGATTCACCCTCTAGACCTGCTTCTTCCTCCGTCAGCTACCAGGGGAGCTTGGCCTCCCAGCTGGAACATCTCAGGGAGGGCTGAGGAGATAGGTACCCCTTTTACTTTCCCATGTGGAGCTGGGGCAGCACCCACCTCTTAAATCCCAGCACTTGCCTCTCAGCACTTACCAGAGCCAGTGTGATAGCTGGGTGGACGGGAGGAGACCAGCCTAGGAGTTACATACCACCTCAAAGCCTGTAAGCTTGCAAAAAACCATCCATTTGCAGCTTCCTTGTATTCCATCTGTTAACCAGCTGTAGGATATGATTTCCCCCACTACAGCCCTGCCAGCACACACAATTACACTAACACAACTTTTATTGAGATTACTGGGGGTTGTATGAGGTGGACCAATGCTGGTGGCTTTGTAGCATGAGTACAAATCACAGCTCTGCTGGTATAATAGCTCCTTTTAAATCAGAAGTGCTTTGTCCATCTAGCACAGTCTACTGTTACTTCTACATCTGTAAATCACTCTTAACATAATACTTAATGATCTGCATCCCCCTTTTTCATGAACCCCAGCCAAACAAGAGCACAATGCTGCAGCTGTAGCTATTAAACTATGGTGGCAGCAAAGCACTCCATTAATACCTCATGCTCAGCAGTTTGCGATGCATGAGAGCTGAATAATTATGCCCTTGTTACCCTCAAATGAGAGGCACAATTGCCAGAAACAAGCGTTTACAATTGAAAAAAAAAAAACGTGTATCAAGTCAAGGACAACATTCCTTCATTCATAAAACAAGCCTTTCCGAGCAAGAAGACTATGAGGCAGAAAGACAGGCTTACGTGAATGAGACAGTTGTTTCTAGAGCTGTATCGTACCCCCCTCAGCTAGACCTCCATCACCACTTTATCCCAGCTGTTTTGAGAAACTAGCAGGCAGAGCTTCAGCCAAAGCTCTCGTTGCTATGAATTGCACCGATAGGGAGATTTCGTTCAGATCTGAGGGACAGGAATGGGAAGCAGGCCTTTAACAACGCGAGTATCGATAACCAGTGATCTGCAGCCTTTGAAACAGAGCAGACAGGCACAGGAGAGTGAAAACGGGGCTGTTGCCTTAACAATAAAAACAAGTGGTGAGAATCTGTCCTCCTTTGTGAGGATGCCCTGTTGCTCAGAGCAGGGGAGCAGCTCCCTGTCTTTGGTTAGCGGTGTGCAGAGACCACGAAACGGTCAGGTAATGGTTCCTTCCTCACCTACAGCTCAACGAGAACAGGGATTTCAGAATCGTGTCTGCGCTGATATTTTTGGAAGAATGACAGCTGCTGCAAAGGAAGTAGTTAAAAGGAGGGCTGTAGTGAACACAGGCTTGCATTATTTTGGGCAACATTCCACCATTCTCGAAGCAAGGGTAGGGCATATGATAATAAAAAACTTGTCACGCTTTTGTCTTACAATGTTATGCTTTCAGTAAGTGAGGACTAAAAAGAGTTCTGAAGTGCACCCTAAACTTAGCATTCCAGAATACTACATGCTTTCATGCAGCACATCTAGCAGCAGATACCTGACTGGATATTTGTTGTCCTCAGCTGGCACATGAGTCATGCTACGGAAGAATGTGCTTATGCTGTCATCTCCTTGTGAAGCCCTGACTCTCACCTCAGGACTTGCCAACTTCAAAACAGTCAGCCAGTCCTGTTGGAGTAATTCAGCCAAGAGATAATAGGTCACAAAAAAACAAAGGGAATGAGTGATCAGGACACCCAGGCCGGTCAAAGCCAGTTTCGCTGGGCTGCCTGGAGAGGACTGGAATTGCAAGAAGCCCTGTCTGGCACACTTTACAGCTATGTTTGCCAGCATTTCTGTTTGTGGACCCTGATTTTTTTTTTTTCCCAGCATGCATAATTTGCATTTTTGGATAATTAGCTTCTCTCATTTAACTTCCCAAGAGTCCAGGAGATGCTCAGGTACTCCTCATTCTCCCACCCACGATCCACAGACCTTTCACTGAAAACCACAGCATAGCACAGACCACAAAAATCTTCAGAGCTGCGGTACAGAGTTATAGGTGGAGATGTGGACATGCAGCTGAAGCTTGACTTTGTCATAAGAAGGAATTTTTAAAAACATCTCCTGACTTGTTACAGAACTGAAGGAATAAAACCCCTTTCAAACTGCTTAGGTAAAGGATCTCCTTGAGACAACACCCATCTATTACGAAGAAGCCTTCAGGCTACGTTTTGAGAGATAAGCGAATGATCAGAAACAGTATCACTAAAATGCACCGTTCAATTTAAAGCCACGCTGACCAAAAAAAGACAGCAAGGGGGCTTCAATTCCCCTGGAAATAGAGGTGGGAAGAGGGTGAGGCTCTCCACACCAGGTAATTTCAATCACAGGATCATCTTTGCCCTCTCGTGGGCAAACCTCTCTCCTGCAGCTTCTCAGCAGATTTGCTGCGCAGAGGCAGGAACAAGACTGCGGACCCCCCCGGGCTGGCCTGCCCCGGGCTTCGGGCAGCAGCCGAGGGGGGAAGCTACTCGGAACCCCAAATCCAACCCCCACCCCAGCCAAGCGGTTCGCCCGGCTTGGCTTCCTGCACCACAGCTCGGAGGAGGCTGCGTGACAAAGCGGGCGGCTGGTCCTGCTCCTCGCTGCGAGGAGAGGGCCCCCTCGAAAGCGGGGACCCCCCCCCCCTGCACCCTGCGTGCCCTGCCCGGGGGGTGCCTGCCCTCTCCCCGGGGAAAGCCGCCGACTGCCAGCCTGTGCTCTGCCCCGCTGCTGTTCTGGTCATTTCCAGTAAGCTAACTTTCATTAGTTTAACTTCCGAGAGAGGAGTTGGCACGATTTTAGCAATAGCACGACTTCAGCTGTGGCGGTCGTGCTCCAAATTATTACATCTTTATTAAATCTTAGGGCTTCCAAGTTATTTTCTCATGCTGCGTAACTCCACCACTGGTGTACCCTTTTAATACACCATTTTGCCTCGACTGTGTTCTTGCATCAAGTTTTCAAATGTAATTAAAAGCATCAGAGACGTTTTTCCCGTGCGAATCCTTACGGTTACGCTCTGGCAACTTCATCAAAGAGAAAACTTCACCTCTAATGTTATGATATAAAGAAAAATATACCGTGGCATTCCAATTTCTGTGCCAACAGTGAAGAAAGTGCCATTCTCCCATTTTACAAGACAACTACCAGGTAGTAAGCGATCTATATAGGATTATGGAACAACAAAGCCACCCTGCCAGAAAGCATGCAGGTTTATTTCCTTTCCATCGCCCCCTACTACCGACAATCAAACGTTTTTAAATGACCCAGTGGTTCACCCTCACTCAACCAAGTAACTGCCACCTGCATTTTTCTACACCAGAAGAAATTATTTGCTCTTAAGACCTTTTGCTAGTTTGTGCTCCTTCCTTTGACAAGTCTGCCACTTAATTTTTTTTCAGCTCTAACTAATCAAGACAACAGGAAAGCAGCACTTGAATTATGCTTGTTGCAGTACCCTACACACCACAGTGGGTGGACAGGCTATTGCAAACTAGTTTGGTTGGACCCTGTGGTGAGAGGCAAATCTGACTTTACCGGACCTTTCCCCTGGGAACTTGCAGAGAGAATATCCAGCGTTGCAAGTTGGACCCTCTTCCCCAGTAACAGGCAAACACAATGCAAGCTCCTTCCTCCAAACCAGGAACAAAGAATGATGTTATTTCCTATGGCTGGCTCTGGGAGAACTATACAGCAACACCAAATCATAGCAACAGAAACAAGAAACGCTTAAGTTACTGACTAATATTTTATTTTAAAAATGATTACAAAATATTTTAGAAAGTTCTTAAGACCAAAAAAGCATAATACGTTAAAAAAGACCACAGGTTTAGAATGGCAAAAAATATTTAGGCATATAAAAATTATTTAAATGGAAATTCAAGGCAACAAAACTGTATAAAATTTTAATTTTATATATATATATAAAACCACTGTATAAGCATCCTGATTTAATAATCATTACAAGTCACTTAAATTCTCAAAGGTATTAAAAGTAAGAGATAGTTCTGAACAGCATAAATTTATTATCTAGGGAACTGCTTATGCTTACAGCAATAAACTAAAACAAAGATGGATTTCCATCTTACAGGCACTATTAGCATCTTGATTTGTTACATTTTTATATATCCTTTCAAAAATTTCACAAAGTCTTTATTTCCCTTCAGTGTAGAAATCTTGGTATTTTTATTGCACAGATTTAAATGAGGAGCACCATCAAGGCCATTATGCAAAAACATCTTGTGCAGAGCTCAGAATCGCGTGAGAGCGCTCACTGCTTTTTCAAGTTAGAGGGTGCAAACATAGAACTCAACTGGAACAGACCACAAGCCTTCCCCGCTGTTCTTAAGCGCAGAGTGCAAGCAGTAAGGCACAATTCCTTCACACATCTAGAACCCAAAGGGCACTGGTAGAATTGTGATTTTCAGGTGGGCTAAACGCCAAGCACAAAAATTAACATTCACAGTCTTCACAATGCCCGCGCAGATTTTCAGAGGGGAAACTCACAGTCCAGCCACTTAACAACAAGTCCTCGCATGTCCTAGAGAATCTTCTGCACCTATTCTCAAGGCACTGTAAACAAAGCCTGAAAGTGGGTGCAGAGCCTTTAAATAATTTTGGACAGGCTCAAGGGAAAAGACGAAAGCCTTTAATGTGTCTGAGCAGGCTCGCAGCACCACTGCCAAGCACCCTGGTGAAGAAGGGAGAAGACAATCCCCAGGTAGAAGTACTGAGCCAGTTGCTTCTTTCCACAGGTTTTACAACCAGCTAAGATTGTACAGAGATGGTAACTTTGCAAACAGAAGAAGAAATTTAAGACAGTTGCTTGTACCAGCACTTCTGCCAGAGCTCCCACCACTCTCCTGAACAATCCCTAATCCACTTCAGTCAAAATCAGCCACCTTCGTGTAAACTATGTAGATTAGCTGGTTTAAATGAGGTAGGCTGCTTTCATCAGAAGCAGGCTGGGAGACAAGCAGACCGCTTTGCTGACAGAGCACAGGAGGGGTAAGAGACATCCAGCCACATGCGCAGAGCTCCTGCAAAACCAGACCTTTAATCCGGCTCCAACGCCATTCTCTGGGATGGGTCTAATTAAAAGACAGACACTCCAAGCCTGGATCTGACAGCAGAAGCATCAAAGGGGCCATGTCAAGGCTGCAGGAGACCAGGCTGCTCAGCCGTCGCGGCAAGGACGTCTCTCCCCCCACCTGGCCTGGGAGGGCAGAGGAGCTAGGAGGGTCACCCACCCCCCCCTTACCTTAGGAAGCTGATAAAGCAGTTAAGGAAACGACTTCACAGAAGCAGAGAACAGCATCCGCACTAGCAAACCTTCTCAACTATTTCAGAACAGAGCAAAAAGAACTCCTCATACTAAGGAACCTGGGATTAATAGTACCACCGTGCAGAAACTGCTTTGTTAGCCAACAACTGGTTTGGAAGCAACAATTTAGCAATTGCCTTAAACCTATAACCAAAGCGTGACTTGCTGATAGCATTTAACTTCTGTGTGACAGACTTAATGCCAGCTAACCAGCATCTGGAGCGGAGCAATATGTACTGTTGCAGAGAATAGCAGGACTCCTCCTATTAGTATGATCCTGTGACGTACGGGAGAAGAACTAACCAGTCTCCCAAAGACTGACGTTTGTCGTTTTCATTAGCTGATGGCAACACTTGCATCCCTTTCAGTCAGAGATGGAATCCGATCTTCAAATTTATACATGGATTGGTCAGCTGGTGACACGTGGAACAGCTAAAATGCAAATGAAAAATATGCCAAAACCTCACTTCAACAACCCAAAGCATGCCAGGGATGCCAGCATGTATGTAGTAGGAGAATCCATCAAACCGTTCTGCAAAGGTTGGCAGTGTTTCTTTCAAAAGGCCTAACGGTCAGGAGATCAGAGTCACTGCTGACACCAACTCCTTGTGGCACTTTTTCATAAAAAGAACTTGCTCTGTATGTCACCTTCTCTCTGAAGTATCGGCAGTAGCTATCATAGATAGGGCGGCCACGGCAGAGAGGTGACTTTACAGATCCCTTTCGGTACCAGTACCTCCAGTTCAGGAACGGAATAACAAATAACAAAGCATTTAGGTGGGGAAAAGTCTATAGAAAAAAGCAACCATAGCCCAGAACTCTATTCACATATTTTCAAGCTGAGAAAAAATTACCTCAAGATAAAAGTCCTGTCACGGTGCTGCATTGCGTAATAAATATCAGCAGCACCTGATATTACTCTTGTACTATATTTACAACATATAATTACAGATCAAGATTTAGAGACTATAGACATTTTGATATGAAAACAAATTCAGTAGAATCCCGGGCAATAAAAAAAAAAAAAAATAAATAAAAAATCCCTCAGAATGTTAATCATAGATACGGATACAATCCCCAAAGTAAGAGACTGCAAATCACAGCAGAGCGATTTCTTGTTGTGGCAAGTTTCGTATCACTAGTAACGCTGCCTGTGAACAGAACACCTCTAAGCTACCCGGTTTTCAGAGACAGCCACGGCAAACTCTGTACACCTAGACTGAGATCAGGTTTTAGTGCAGACAGTAATAAATACAAGAAAAAAAGAGCCAGTCCAAAGAGCATTTCTTCTTCACAAAGCAGGAACGTCTGTGAAGAAAAGTATGTCTTCTATGCCTGGCTCTGAAACCAAGCTTACAGCTTAAACCTGATGCTTCACACCACCTGTCAAAATTTTACATCCTCCAAGCAAAGTGTAGTGTTAGGCTTAAGACTCAGACCTTTGGGAGAGAACATCACCAACTCGCATCCGTCAGAAAGTGGCAGCACTGGAAAAAAACTCTGATCTTTTACAGTTCTTTGTCTTGCAACAGCTTCCTCATCCTTTCCCAAATACAGCTTGCTCAGCCAATTTCTGGCGGGCTTAGTCTCAATGCTGCCACAACAGGCTACAGGACTATAAATTTGTCAGAGTAAGGTATTGATGAAATGCAGTTAATGCTTGGAAGACACGGTAAATGCCATGAGCACTCAAACAAGATTTGTTTTTGCATAATCAGCTTTTTCTCGTTTACTTTGGTATTTTGGAACATCTCCTGGCTTACGGCAATTTGCTCTACTTTTGAAGGCATTCCTCTTAAGTAAGGTCTAGCAGTCTTGCTTCTCCCTTTTCACCACTTCATTTCTTTTACAGCCATCCACATCTGGTCTAATATAGGTGTCACTTGTCTGACACTGTTGTGTCAGTAGTGTTTCTTGCAGTCCTGCAGCCTGTCGCTTTTAAGATAAATCAAGGGTACAAGTGCTTATTTACCTGTTTACCAACTGAGCTAGCCAGTAGCAAGAAGTCTTAAGCTAGTGCCATATTTATAAACAAAGAAAGTGGTGGGGTCCATAACCATTCTGGCAAAACTTACCATTAACTATGCATAAACAAGCTGCAGAGGATAGTAACCTTGCAAGTAATATTCACCAGGACAGTACCAATGTGCTGTAACATTTTTCCCACTGATGTTCAGATTACTACTTCTGGGGTTACTTCATTAAAATATTTATAGTTCATCTTCTTCCTCTCACAGCTGGCTTTTCAAGTTTCTTTCTGCAACTTTTATAGCTTTCAAAAAAATGTGAAAGAAGATTCTGGCGTGCATGTCCAAACTTTGACGATCATGGGGTGCAAAACTCTCTCCTTAATATACCGTTACGTTACCTTCCCTGTAAGACCCCTGTGCTTGCTATTCTGTTAAACTGAGCTCCGCAGACAGAACTGAGACATATGAAGAGTAAAAACAAACTAAAACCCCTTACATAAGGATAAGCGTTCCTGTAAGGCTCCAAGTAGGTATCTCTTACATTCACAGTTTGACCAGTAAGCACAAGAACGAATTCTGCTGTACTACCTTAGGACTTGTAACAGAAATATCTGGTCCATTTATACAGAAAATATCTTTAGGGTATAGCTCAGAATTCATATCCATCACACATTAACCTTTATTAGTCACCTCTATCAGAATCAAATCAGCGCGCTGTCATCCGCAAGTTACTCTATTTATACACAAGGTTTTTTTAATGTATGTCACCTGGACAGGTGGCAGGACCAGTTGCCTTAGAAGATGATGCTCAAGATGCCGTTACTTGACCTAAGGATCTATAACAATTTATGATGAGCAATGCGTACAAAATGGATTAGAAGGAAGAGACAGAAGTGGTTACCTACAGTGCACTGAAAGTTCATTTTACTTCGCTCCATTCAAAAAAAAATGAAGTCATTCCAGTGAGTTAGCTTTGTTTATTCAATGGCTGATTTTCCGTGGCACTCTGAGTGTTGCCAGGAGTTTCAGAGCATCCATCAACGTTTTGCTTCTGACTGTGAAAACGCTCAATAATAATTTCAGCTAGAAATGCACCACTTGCAAGAAATCCAAACACCTGTGAAAGTGAAAGGAACGTATAATTTTAAAATGTATGAACATTAACAATATTCTTACACTGTCTGCAGAGATTTTCTGGACTATTTACACACCTTAATAACACTTATATATAAAGTTTCCAGTCCTCCTTAAAACAGTGGTACCATTTAAATTGGGAACAGATCAGAAATCATAATTCTAGCACATTTAACGCAGAAGTTTTTACAGTTCTCATTCTCTTAATCAAGCACGAACAGTACAATATGTTCTAAACAGCCCTTAATAGTAAAAGTATATTCACTTTATTGCAAAAATTAGTTATTAAAGAAGCATGGCATTGGGGGTATAGCAGAGTATTTATCCAGGAGATAGCTGCTGATTAAAGGGACTATGTGAAGAAGAGTAACACATGAAAGGTGAGGGGAGGCAAGATCTGCAGAGCCTAAGCGAGTCCTTACTGGGTCAGCAAGGGAGGGTGAAATGCCATTTTGTTAATGACATTTTCATTATTAGTTATGGCAAGACAGTGCTAAGTAGAAGGTTGCAGCTTCTATCAAACAAGGAAACACACACATGCATTATTTGAACATTTACCAAAATTTTACACAACTGGTTTGGCCCAAAGCAATTTGACACTAGCAAGTCTTAAATCGCAATAGTTGAGATTTTTTTTTTCCAATCCCAGAGAAAAAAAAAACTGAAAGACTTTATACTCAAGCCATTAGGTCTGAATATATCAACATCACAGACAATGGCTATACAAAAATGTTTCTCTAATAGCTCATGCTGCCTGTAGAAAACAATTATTTTGCTTTATTTCCTAACTCATTTTTTTTCATTCAGGAATAAAATCAATATTTGATCTTTTAAAAAATCACATATGCACAATTCCAAGGGTATTCAAAAGAAGCGCCAAGCACATGAGGAATTGTGAGATCCACAGCATCCCAAAGCCTCTTCAGTGTTCCCCGGGAGATGCATGCCCTGTTGCTCTTCTAACTACTTCTGTCACTGACGAAACGGCTGCTCTTATCGCAGCCTTTGGCAGGCAGCGTTCTCCACACATGCTCTAGGACACCTGGCAAAATACATGGTTTCTTGCTGACTTTGTCGGGGGGGGTGGCATTAGGGCAGGACAATCGAGAGGATATCGGAGAACAGGGGCAGCTGTGAGAGGTGCAAAAGTCAAAACAGTGACAGATCACGGGGAGCAAGAAGGAGCCAAGGCAGCGAAGCCTGAGGAACCCAGAAGCAAGCTGCGAACGCTGGGGAGCTGCAAGGGCACGCAGAGCTTTCCAGCTATCCTGAGGAACGCCTGCTCTTCGGGTTTCCTACGGTAAGTTCCTGGAAGGCCTGAAATAGCTAATTCCTCCCGAGACGTCACAATGCACTGAATTCTGTTCCCTGCCCAGTTTCTTCCCTGCAAACTGAGCGAGATTTAAAGGGCAGAGAAATTAACATACAGGATAAATACGAAGAAAATGATGCGATTTTAATACTTACACATGCAGCTTTTTCAACAGCAGACCCAGTGCTGGTCGCAGCAAGTACTATTGATGCTAACAGAAAACAGACACCTATGACTGGCATGGCCCAAAAGTTCTGCAAATAAAAAAACCCCTAGTGTTATAGAGTTGAGGATATACTACCTGAGAAAGAACAAGCATCATAACAGCAGCTGAGTTAACCAGCCAGTGAATTTACACTTTGAAACTTTGATGATAATGGGAGCTTCAAAAAAAATGTATTTTACAGCTATATTCCAAACAACATTCAATGTTATCAACTATTTAAAAGAGTCGGCATTACATACTCCCCCTTTCGTCTTCTTTAAATATTCATTCATTTCATTTAACCTTTTTCACAACGAAATTGAAGCTCAGGTCAACCATGCTAGTATTATTCCTTATGTAAGACACCTGGGAAACAGAAACCTGGAAGTAAATGTGCTCATCCAAATCTTACTACACTGCCTTATCTGTACCTTCACATAAAAAAACCTACTGTTTGCTCTGAAGACAAACAGGAAGGGACAGTCATAACATCTTACTGACTTTACAGAGCAACTCTGTGCCACTGATGGATCTTCTGAAATATAAAAGCATAAACTGCAATGAGTATGATTATTACCAAAAAGGAGGTAGGCTACACCCAGTAGGAAAATAGATAGGGTAAACAGGCAAGTGACAAGTATCATGCTGGCAGTAAACTGTGTTCCATATACATACATATATGCACAGTGTTAGTCTGCGTGAAAGACTTTCACACAAGCCCTAAAATCCTGCAGGTAACCAACATGACAATTTTGGAAAAGTTGTCAATATAAAAGGGACTCTCAAATTTGACTAATTTTTAACTATAGGCTATTTTAATCTACCCTTTAAATAGAGAAGAAGATTAATTCTGCATAGCCTTTTTATTCCAAAGTAGTCTTTAAGCACTTATAAGAAACAGTTTGGGTTTTAGAAAAAAAAAATTCCTTACCACTCTTTGTACTTTATCTTCCCCAAATGTTTCGTATACATCAGTGCAATACACACACAGGATCAGGAGGCTCAAAAGAAAGGCACTGCAGCTTGTGAATTCAAATAAATAAAGTCCAGCACACTTGATACAATCCTCCACAATTTCTTCACAAATAACAGCCAGAAGAGAGAGAATCTGCAAACAAATAACATGCTTGAGTTGGATCATGTCTCTAATATCTTCAGCAAATAGACATCTCCAATATGAACATGAATAAGGACAGCTGTAAGGAAAATCCTTAATCTACAAAGAACCTGGGAAAATTCTGTGCTGTTTTCTTACAGAAAATAATTATATAGTGATTATACAGAAAATTTCTTACAGAAATAATTATATAGTGACCCAGTTTATACTCGCTGTTCAAGTTGGTCAATAAACTACACTCGGGTAAGCTGAGCACACACGGCCAAATACAGGCGTCTTGATCAGACGGTCAAGATTCCCCATTTGTGATTTAGTGCAACTGCCAGTTGGAAGCAGAGGGGGCAGGCAGCACGGAGAGCACACATCCTGCTCAGAATGTACAAAAATGCTATTGCTTGCTACTTACAACTGCACTTAAACGCCTTTGGGTTCAGGGTGGAGGGGAGGCTGGACAGCACTGACACGGTCAGCTACCTCCCCAAACACTTTCAGCCGACGTTACCTCCCTTGATAAAACTTCAGAGAAAGTTCATGTAGATAATAGCTCATGTGCTTATGACCCAGTGATGAGAGAAGCTCAGCTGTACTTGTAGGATTCAAAACTTTATGTTTAAGCTACGTTGGACAGTGTTTAAACTATGCGGAAGCTTACGTTCACCTTCCTGCTACACTATGTTTCAAGGGAAGAACATGAGTTAATTCCTGTACAGTCACCATCCAGCTGTTGCTGGATTTTCTACTATTTTATTGTACAAGAAAGAATGTTGCTTAATGTAAATGCTCTCTCATTTTGGCCACCTCTTGCTAGTTTCCTTCATCCCATAAAGTTGACACAGCATTATAGATCCCTGTAGTGAGGAGTTCACCAAATTAAAACCATTAGTAGGAATCAGACTCGGTCATAAAATTGAGACGGATATAAAGACAATGATGGTATTTTTAATAAAAGAACACGGGCAATAATGATGTTGACAGTTCTTCTTTAAAAAAAAAAAATCCCCTAACAAGTTCTAAAGTTCAGAATTGTTCTTGGAAAATAACCACCAGACTTTGGTTTCAGTTTTCCGACAGTAAAATGAAGAACAACACTTTAGCATGTGAGAACTGCAAATCCCCCCTGCTAGGCCAAGGCCAGACCTCAGAAGGGCACTTCAAAGCATCATGTTTTGAAAACGCTGCAATCACGTAAAGTAAACAGGACCTCAGAAAGGGAAAGAACCCAAGCTGGGAAACGGCATGACTATCAGGCCTCCACATACTTCCCTTCTCCCCCGCAGCGGCTGGCAAGGCAAACCTCTCGGCAGCCCTCGCACCTAAACCAGCGACCGTAACGGCTGTCCGAGGAACGTTCTGAACTCAGAATTTCCAATTTTTAAGGTTTTTTAATTGTTATTATTTCAAAAGATTTGCTGACAGCTGCACCCAATGACTTTCACATTTTCACAATGTGAATGTCAGCTAAAGTGTGAGATAGGTTTTCACATAGAGTTCCGGCTCTTTTTATCAGCACTGAAAACTGAATGCCGTCGCTTTCACCTGGGATGAAACGGAGCAGAAAGGAAATAAACGTGCCCCTAAAAGAATTTATTATCCCAGATAACCATAATATGAGCTAAATAACTGAAAAAACCCTCTCTGCTGAGTGTACAACAAGTAGAAAAAATCCCACTCAAAGAGTAGCTATAATGAGTTCAGCATCAAATAAATGAGATTTACCAAGTGAGGTCCTATGTGGGACTTTTCCAAGTCAATATTCAATTTTTTATTAATAAGCTGAATAACAAAATAGAGTACACCCTTAAAAAAGCTTTGTCTTGAAGAACTTTGATTATACAGTAGCGTATCAACAGCACGTTTATAAAGTACCAGAGTTCTCCTTGGGTTTCTTCACTTGCTTCTTCACGCCATTGTGAGAAACAAAAGGGATTACTCTGCTGTCCTACTACAAAAAAAGAAAAGTTTTAAATACCACTAAAAGAGTAGTTCCTAACTTCAGTTTATATAATTACAGCTATACAGCATAGCAAGAAGTTTTTGCTAGGATTAGCCAGAAGATTATGGTGTCTATTATTCACCTGCATTTTAGTAACAGCCCGCTGATAGATACAGTGTAAATACATGAGCCGCTTTAAACAAGCCAGGAGATTCCCCATTTCATTCAGTTTCCCAAGAGCTATTCTGCCACAGACCCAACTTTGTCCGTCAGCAGATGACTGCAGACCTCTACAAGCTCACACAAAGGAGCCAAAGCTCCTGGTTTTTGTGTCTGCCTTCTCCCCACCTACCCCACGGAGGATCCCTAGCGCCCCGTGCCCAGAACATCACTACTGCTTTTGTTCGAGCCGTCAATGACGAGCGAAGAGGGGCAGCTCAGTAGTGCCTCATTTTCTTGAGAGCCAAACCTTCCGGGCAGAGTTTCTTTCACCCCGAAGCTCGGGGTAACACCTGAAGACACAAGCAGGCAGCCGCCACCCCCCAGAGCCCCGCGGTGCTGCAGATGCGGTGCCAGCGCTGGTGACCCCGGCAGGTGGGTCTGGGCACGGTCCAGGGCACGCACGGGGACACAGCCAGGAAAATCCACACCGCCCCACAGGCACGCACTGCTTGCTGCAAAGGGAAAAGCTTTGTTGGAAACGCAGTCTTTAACTTTCTTTCTTTAAATAAATTATTAGTCCTATCTGTCCGTATGTACACTAGAAATTAAACATCGGTCCTATGTACACCAGAAATTAAACCTCTTCATCTGTCCCTTACCAGCAAGAAGTTTTTCATCGATACTGACATTATTGCTGGAATTTTCTACACAAGTGTCAAGTTTCTAAAGCAGATTTAAGAAGTGAAAGGCTACAAAAGAATGCTATGAAAATAAAGCAGATCAGTGAACTTCTAACAGGCCTGTGAAGATGCTCAGCAGTAGTATTCCCAATAAAAAATCTCCTCATTCAGATGGGTGCACGTATTCTGTAAGTCTCCACAAGGAGGGCTATGATAAGAAGTGAACAGCTCAGAAAAAGAGCAGATGTTTAAGACTGAATTACAATTTACCTTTCCAGTTAGGGCATTTTGGCTGAAGTCAAACAACAGCTGATCCCAAGTATTCCTGCTTGAGAAAGAATTTGTTTCTACCTCAATCTTGGCACAATATGCGCTGTCACATTTATCTTTGTGCAGAATTTGAACCAGCCATGGACTAACAAAAGCATTCCACCTATATAAAAAAAATAAGAAGCAGCCCATGCAATAAGCATGCCTCCCAGCATGCTTTTGGTAGTTACATATTCCTTATTTTATTTGCCCAAAAAGAACAGGCTAAGATTACAATGTATGCCATTATTAATCAGAAGAAAAGCATTTCTAAGGTATAGAAACCAGGTTTCTTCAGGTGATTTCACAGTATTTTGTAAAACACTTGATCACTTCTGTAATGAAGACAGCTGATTTTCTGAATGCAATACACAGTTTTGCAGTCCACACGGATGATTATCGATGCATAATCCCAATAACAACTCACAATCACTATTGTAACACAAAGCTAATAGACATTAATGACCACCACCACCATTTAAAAAAAATCAACTTTCTCAAAATAAGAACACTGCTCTTGCTGGAGACACTGAAACTGCCACCTGGTAATTTCTAGGGATTGTTTAAAGTGTTTTGACCAAAAATTCCAAGATCTGTGCATTTTGGTAAAGGGAAACAAAGACGGGAGAAAAAAAACTGTTGGAAACTAGGAGGGTGAATGATCATAACTCCTTCTTCTCATTGAAGGACAGGTACAGGCCATAAACTGCTGATTCTTTAGGAGCATATCAAGCAGCTATCCATCCTGTTTAGCATAATCATAATTTTCCTTTTTCCTACCTAGAAAGCTTTTAAAATAATGCTTCTGTTCAGGTAAACAGTTTAAGAATTTGGTACACCAGTAAGTTTGCATATGCAATGGTTTATTTTAATATTTTAGTCAGTGAACCTACTTACATAAATGATCTCCTTGTCTGGGAGCAACAGTCAGCAGATCTTACTTTACTGATCTCCAGCAGATGAAGTAAAAGTTTATGACCTATTATATTTATTTATTTAAAGCATTCTTGGGTGCAATTTTTTTAAACACTCTTCGAAAACATTATTTTTGGCAGCATTACCGTTACCTTTACCAGCACTCAAGAATCTTACATTTCTGGTCAAGGATTTTGACTGGGCGTGAGACAAAACTTTAAAAAACAAATGTCGTCTTTTCTGCAATGGTGAGGTAACGAGAAAGGGTTGGAAATCACCTACAATTCCTGAGAGCATGAGACATTTGCAGTCAGCTGCCCTTTCCCACTGTTGGTTTCACTACCTCCCAGCCAGTACTTAAGAATGATGCTCTTCATGTCCTCACCAGCAGCCGCACTGCCACATTTTGGAAGAGCCCATTGCTGAGCACAGGACAAACAGGAGTCTGAATCAGGGGCCCAACTGCTGCATGTGTTCAGTAATAATGTTACATGTAGCAAAAAGCAAGCAGAATATAAGCCTTTTCCTTCCCCGTGGGCACAGGACAGCCCAACATGAAGTGATGCACTGCGATGTCTCATACAATAGGCCACCATCAACACTGCACATCTCTGGTGCAATTTTCTGCCACCAATCATGGGAGAAATGAGCTCCCTGATTTTAGCACTGACAGTGCAACGCGATAAACTCACAAAGGGGCTGGAGGACAGGGAGGTTCAGATCTGCTGGCCCAGCAAGCCCTTCCCAGTTCTACTGCCCTGCCTTGAGGTTCAACCAAAGGCTTGTACCACCCGTTTTCACCCAGCAGGGCCCTCCGAATAAAATACCAAGTTTCCTGTGAGATTCTTCCCTCTGATTTTAAATCCTAAAGACAGCACACCGCTGAGCCACGCTGGCTGCACCAAACCTTGGTCGCACGACGCGCACAACCATCAGATGTCAGCACCTGCTCCTGTAGCTACAACACGAAAAAGGAACAAGCCTGTTACTTCCCCACCGTAAAGTAATCCGAATTTGTAGAGACGACGGGCTCGTCAGGCCCCGCGTCTGCTTTCCACCGGATTTACAAGCCTGCGCAGCTTCAGTGACCAAGAGCAAAGGGGGCTCTGCCCCCGCTACGCCTGAAGCCAGGCTTTCCGCTGGAGCCGGCCCTCTCCTGACCGACACAAGTCGTTTCCCCGAATCCTGCGTACGGCCCCCAGCCCGCCTGCGAAGGGTGGAATATTCTGAAGGGGATTTAGAAGTGAAAGGCTACAAAAGAATGCTATGAAAATAAAGCAGATCAGTGAACTTCTAACAGGCCTGTGAAGACGCTCAGCAGTAGTATTCCCAATAAAAAAATCTCCTCATTCAGATGGGTGCACGTATTCTGTAAGTCTCCACAAGGAGGGCTATGATAATGCCCTAAAGCGACCGTAACGCGCCCGTTTCTACCCCGAAGCCGCACTTGTGGCAAAGCGGGGCCACCCCTAAAGCCCGCGGGCGACAGTCGCTGGCGGGGCGGGCGCGGGCCCAGCCGCCCGGAGCCCCGCACACCCCGGGCGCGGCCCCGGCGCGGAGCCCCCGCCGCCCCCCGGGCGGCCATTCCGCGGGGCGAGGCCCGGCACGTCCCCGGCCGCCGCCCGGGGAGGCGGTGGGCCCGTCGTTCGGCCAGCAAGGGCCGCCCTGGCCCCGCTCCTCCCTCGGGGCGCCGCCGGGCCGAGGCGAGGAGGGGACTCACCGCTTGGAGCGTTTTGGCCGGCAGCCGCCATCCGCGCAGGTGCCGCAGGGTGCAGCCGAAGGGGCGGCGGGGCGGCTTGGCCTGCGGCTCCGTGGTCTCGTTGTAGACGGCGCCGTTCTCCATGGCCGCGCCGCCGGCTGCCAGCTGAGGGGGAAAAGCGAAAGCAAAAGGGCGGCGGCGGAGGGGCGGGGAAGGGGAAGGAGAAGGCGGCGGCCCGGCGGGACAAAGGCGGTTCCTGCAGCGAGCGCCATCTCCCCCCCCCCCCCCCGGCGGCGGCTGAGGGCGGCGTGAGGGGGGCGGCGGGCTGGGGGCCGCCTCAGGCCTGCGGCCGCTCGGAGTTGTGTGAGGGGTGCTGATTAAGAAGGGTTTACGGCGTTGTTTACGTTCCTCTTGCCACACGAGAGTACAACGTCAGAAGGACTTTTTAAAGCCAGAGCTGTCGCGGTTTACATTCCTCGTTGGCAGTGAGAGAGCACGCTGTGTCGCCCGGTCCCCACTGATACAGTGCCATACCTTTGCCAAGATCAACTTTTAAAGGAAGCTACAGCTTTTGGTGCCAGCATAGATCGAGCCCATTGTATGTAAGCAAAGGTGTGTTACATCCACTTTTGTATTATTAATGTATCATCCCCAGAGCTATCGCGGTCCTTCATAGTTAGGTTCAGATATACGCCACTTAAATTCAGACAAATACACTTTCCTGGTAGAAAAGGTGTTGATTTGCTTTTTTAACCGTGGCTTTATCTGTGCTTAGGGAACAGCAGGCAGTTCCGACGCTGCCCGTCCCTCAGGAGCGCACAGGGAACTGGAAGGGTGTGTGCTGCAGTGACCCGTGAGGTAGGTGCCATTTTTAACTCTGCCGCGGGCCACCGTTGAGCGGGCCGATGGAGCGGTACGGGCCAGACGAAAGCAGCTGGGCCGCGCTCCGTCCTGAACGCCCAGCAGGCCGGACGCGTGACCTCTCCTGGGAGGACAACACAAGGCAGGGGAACACGCGGGATCCCCAGGCAGGATAGTGCGGGCTTGTTGTTGGGCTGCAGGAGTTGGCTTCTGAGGCAAACGAATAGGGCAAATCCCCTAATTCTCAAGGCATGGGAGTTCCTGCTAAAATAAGTAAGGTATCACCATGGGTGTGCCCCAGCTTCTGCCTGGGCTTGGCCTGAGCCTAACGTGGCTGTGCTCCAGCATCCCAGGCTGCGGGACGGAGCAGGTAGGTGTAGTCAGGAGCACTGTTGCCACTTATGAGTCCCCGGTGCCTTCATTACCTTTTTTTTTTTTTTCACATTTGCACATCATAAACAAGATCACATTACAGAGACTGGCATCTCTCTTCTGAAGGAAATGCCCTTTTTGTTTTGTTTTCTTCCTTGATAATATCTCAAAACTGGCTGAATAACTCCAAAGCCACAGAGTGTCTGACTAGGCGATGTGTGGTCTGAGAAAAACAGGATTTAACGGAGATAGAAGCAATTATCAGTTATTTTAAGGTGTTCAGTAGCATCTAAAGCTGTTTTGTAGTTGTTCCCTTTTGAATCTTTACCAATGTCTTAATGCAGCATTGGTAGATTATGCACACAGACATTAGGATTGAAGACAGCTGTCTTGAGGAGACTGCTTTTCAAGGAGTCACAGAAACACAAGCCTACAAAAGATAAAATACAGCAACATTTTCTAGTTACTGCTGTCTTTAAGAGTTGTTTTTCCTGTTCAGGCCTTCTCTAGGAAGTATGTATCAGTGATGCATGAATTATAAAGACTAGCTTGCCATTTAAAGCCTAACTTGTTTAGGCCACTTTATTTATTTATAAAGAGGTGCAGGAAAAGCAAAAGAACAGCAAAGCCACAGGAACTGTAAGATCATGTGATAGAAGGAATGAAAACTGGAGGACAGCATAGGACTTGATAGATTAAAAACACTTCAAGCATTATGTTTAAACATATAGATGCTGCTATTCACACACACTGCAGGTGTTCTTCACCCTTTTCATCAGCACTGTCTTTCAAGTACAATATCTCTCCTTTAAAGAGGAAATGCAAATCAAAACAAGTTATAATAAATAACAAGCCTATTTAATGCAAATTAATTAGCTGGCCATGATGTATCGGAAATCCTATTCCAGATGTACGTGTATTAATTTCCTTCTGTTTATATGCTACACCAGACAGTTTTCCAAAGAGAATTCTTTCTTACCGGGCCACGGCCTCTGCTGGAATAGCAGGACATGGTGGCAGAGAAGCAGCCCTGGAGTTAGATCCTGAGCTACAGTAGCATCTCCAGTCAGCCCCGCAGAGTGCGACATGGGGAGAAGCAGATTAGTGATGAGTGACCTAGTTTTCTCCCTCGTTACATCTTCTCCGAAGATCCCCACCATAGTGACCAAAAAGCAATAGCAATTAAGTTGAGAAAGCCACCTCGTTAGGGGAGATTACAGTGTACACAGTAGAGCTGTATGACAGTTACTACTCCTCACCACTGATGTTGAAATAATGTTGAACTTTCCAAAAAAGTGTGACTGGAGCTTCTAGAAAAAGTTGAGTAAATGCCAGCTGCTGGAGTAAGGTGGATACATGCCAGGGCTGCATCACTGTTTCCCTAAAGTGACGGCTGGGTGGCTCTTTGGCACTAGCTTTGTGCTGTGTTAGAGTATGATGCTAAAGGCCAAGTCCCTCGCGCCCAGAATTGGCAGCAAGGCTCCACTGACCTCATGAATGAATATTCTCCTTTTTCCATGTTCATAAGTGCAGATGTGGGGTTTTTCGCTTTTCTTCTCTGAGGGTGAGGGGACTAGAGGAATGAGAAAGCACCTTAAAAGCCCAAGCCACTGAAGGAGACTGACTTAGTTTCATTTGAAGGGTGGTGAGGTTTATTGCTGCTGCACGATTTGGGGAGCTCGGCTGAAGTGAGCCAGTTGGAGGCACAGCTCTGTCCCTGGTCTCGGTCCTGGTGTTCCCACACAGGCGTCTCAGCAGCTTTTGTTCAGGACTCTAGCCCCGTGTGTTACATGAAGTAAATACAGGATGACCACTAGCAAATAGAATATCCCAAGTGCTGTGACAAAGAGCTCAGAAAAGCCTCGAACGTGTTGCATCTGCTGCAGCTTCCTCAGCTCTTGAGGTTCTGGTTTTGGGCTCAGTATTGCAACTGAACTTCATAACCCCCAATCACCATACTAATGTGTTAGAATGTGTGATTTTTAAACAGATGAAGAATTCGCATTTTTAACAGCCATTTCTGAGTATCCCTCAGGGCACAAAAGCAAAAAAAACCTCAACTCCCCGCATTTCCCAACTGCAGGGTTAGGCCAACTCTTGTCAGTGGTTGTCTGCAGGTGTCTACGTGGCATGGAGAAGCATAAAGCCGTGAGGTATTGGCTAGGCAGCAGTTCTGCAGCTGCAGGTGTCCTAGTGCAAATTAAGTTTGCTCCCCAAGAAGAGACCGCAGCCCAGCAGGCTGGTACTTGCATTTCAGATCTATCACTAGAAATTTGAGGTTAGTATAGTATGGTAGCTAGTCCATGTAACCTGAAAGTCACATGCACATTTCAGAGACTGCCATTTTCAGCTGGAAAATACAAACTCTCTGGAAATAAAGTGGCCATTTACTCAAAACTTCCAGGCTTACAACAGCTTTATTACAACCAGCATACTCAAAGAACTGATGTAGGAACGTGGTAGAGAGAAGGAGGAAGAGAGTTGTAGAATTTCCCCAAAATGGTTTAGTTTGAAGCTAATCAGCTTCTTGTCTCAACAGAACTGGCCCTGCAAGTCTAAAGGAATTAGTTATTTTGTAGTGTTTTTGCTGTATTCATACCGCATTTAAAAATTATGAATTGTTCTTTATATCATTCCGTGCAGTTGTATTACCTCTTTGCTTTCTGCATCATGTGCTAGACTGAAACTGTACCAAATGACACTGAAGGCACACAAGAGTGAGTAGAAGCAACATTAAAGTTACTCGTGTTGTTATTCTTTTTAAATATTGAGGTTATCAGAAACCTAACCCATCTACAGTTTAGGGCATGAAAGCCCAATAAAGGATTATGCAGAAGTGTCTTTGCTAAATCAGCTTCGTTGTTTTACCCAATGTCTTATTTAGTTTTGGTGCCCGACTTGATGGTGAAGGAAGGAGAATAGGAAGGATTCACTGGCACTACCTTTTGTGAAAAGGACCTTCTGTCAGAGGCTCATTTTGCATTATAGTCCTGGTAAATTCCACCTTAATTGTCTACTCTGATCAAAGCTGTAGTCAGGGAAATGGCAACTCAAGAGGACAAAGCAGCCAGCCCAGTAGTCTTGGTCTCATCAGAGGGAAACAAGCCAAAGCCCTCAGGTTACACAGAAACACATTCTCGGCTGTTTTTCTTTGTGGTAAAGATACTTTGAAGTCTTTTTTTTTTTTTTTTCTTTCCCAAAAGAGCATGAGCAGGCTGTAGATAAGATAGTGGCAGCAGCTTCAGGAGAATTTTAAGAAGGGAAGCTGGCTATTTTAGTCTTATAGAATGAAAGGCAGGGTAGGGAGACAGCCTTTTTGTAAATAATAGTTTAAAAAACAACAACAAAAACCCACAAAATCTCCTTCCTCCCCCCACCCCCCTTAAAAAACCCCAAAGAGCTGTCAGTGTTTAGGGAAGAAGTACATTTAGAAGCATTAAGTATCCAGAAGTGACCTTTTGCCAACTTTGTTTTAAGAAGTGAAATTCTAATGAGTCATTAGTAAGGTTTTCCCCTATCCCAACCCCCCTAAACAAAGGGCACCTCCTGCAATCGTTTTTCAGCTTTGGAAAGGGTGTTGTGCTTTGACAGATGCTCAAATGAACTGCAATTAACGATTGCAGGAGCTAAAGTTTTCTTTCAAAAACCTGGACAGTACCAGGTAGTTTAAGATGTTGCCCTAAAATCCAGTTTCACCCTACCAACACAGACCACTGCAGTTGTATGAGGAAGCTGTACTGGCCCCTTCTCTCAAGCACATTTCAAATTGTGTTTTGAGAAGTTTACAGACAGAATCTAGAGAACTGTTCTGATACTGATGCATGCCATGCGTCCATGACTGGAAGCTTAATTGTTTTTCTTCAAGACATGATTTATTCTGTACAGTTGTTCATCAGCAGGTCATGCATTTCCCCATGTGCCACCTTTCCTGAATCACCGCCATAAGCAAAATTTTAGGGACTCCAGTTTGCACAATTGATCCACAGTTACGTATCTCTACCAAAAGGTGTTAGTCCACAATTCACCAGTCTGAGTCAATTTTAACAAGTTGCTTAACTTCAGGAAGTTCAATGCACAACAAAATGTATGTTGTTCTTCAGTAAATTTAGTTATTTTGAAAATATGGAGGTAATTCACTAAAACCACTACATAATGCAGGTATTGGAGAAGAATAACACCATGTTCAAAATAAAGAGGATTTACCCCCTCCTCAGTGTTTCAAAACTTTTCTAAATAATCAGAGAAAGCAATGCAAGGCGATTTAAAAAACTAGAAAACCTGAACTCATTAAAGAAGGCTCTTGGCAATCATTTGATCAGGATGTACTTTCTATGCCCCCTATTCTGTGGCTGTCAGTAGAAAGCAACCACAATCTTCACACAGAACAGTGAAGTGATGCTCAACAGTTGGGTACTGAAAGGTTAAGTAAAGCCCTAACCTTGCTCAGCTACTTCTCAGACAATACACTGGAGCCATCAGCAGGATCCTCAGTGTAACTAGTGTGCTTTTGAAACAGGACAGAAGCCACCCAGGTCGGGTAAGCTACTTTTACTCCTAGGAACAAACACTGCAGACTTACCCCCTTCCTTCCAGGCCCAAAGTTCTAAGGAAGTTTTAAATATAAAAGCACATTTTAAGATGTTTTACACCACATCCTTAGATTTAACTGTAAACAAACAAGAACACAATGGCTTCATTGAAAGTTACTTAAATTTGAATGCAGAGAATACTTTATTAACTGATTACAGTTTTGAAGACCAATTTTAAACCATAACTAATGTGGGAAACAGTGGGGGACATTAAGGCTGAGCCATATATATATAGACAAATCTGGATACTGATACTCTGTACATTTAACCTCTGCTTTTTCTTTATACATCTTTTATTCGGTGTCTGAAATTAATCAAAGAGAAAACCCCCCAAAACTGTCCACTAATTTAGTCGTATATCTGGAATGAATTTTTGCATGGCTTTTTGAATGCAGTGTAAATCTCAGTGGAGATGAAACAGATTTTTTTTTTTAACCATACTCCAAATGAAGTGTTCAAGTATAACTGGAATGTGTTGCTGCAGCTTTGTGCAATTAATTTTCTCTTCCAAAAACCAGTAGTTGTTCTCTCCTGTAGAGGTTAATCTATTTAAGATAGTATTAAACTTGCCTAACAGGTTGGGAAATCAATATAAATTAAGTGCCCATGGTGTGTATGTTTTCCTGCTCTAAGTAACTCTTATCACTTAAGTGGACATACTTGCAAGTTTACAGAATTACACTGACTTTTCAACAAAACCCAGAAAAAAATTAATTTACTATTCTTGCACTGTGAACAGTACTCCTACATGATGTGATAACCGTTTTCCATCTGTACAGCTCCCTTTCGTAAAACTGGGCAACACACATGAAAGAAAGACAGACAGACATCAACTGTTTGTGTTCTGAAAGTTATTTCAGTTCTTTAGTTCCAGTCACTGAAGGAAGAGGCAGAGGCAAGTTTGAATTATCCCAGAAAAACTGAACAATTGGTTTTATTTGGTATCTTCAAGATCCTTCACCTTCTGTGGGAGATGTAGGTGTCGTAGGAGAGACCATTTCAGGTTTTCGTGAAATTCTGTCCAATTCTGCCTGGACATCTGTTAAAACTGGCTTCTGACCTACAAAATAAATACATATTATTCAGTCATGTTTATGAAACAGTTTTGGGAAAGCCTATAGTATCTTTAGTTCTCAAATGAGACAACTCTTAAAAATTGTTACTGCACACTTTGGGTGCAGAGTAAATGCATAAAGCCAAAACCCAAAAGAAACAGGAAGAAAACAGTAGAGTGAAAGTCACATCCTTCTGTATTTCCGATTTCTCAAAGAAACTTTGATAATTATATATTAATTGTCAGTATATGTAGAGTTAATGCGAAGTATAAAATACAGGAAAGTCTATTAAGGCTAGCGGTTATGAATACTTATACACAATTTTCTACATCATATGTATTTTAAATAATTCTGATTGTAAATCAGGGTTCACCACCGACCAGTGAAGTCAGTTCTACTGCACCTGGTCAGCATAACCCCGACACCGCTGCTCACGGACCTGCAGATGGCAAATCCCTTTCCTCGCCCACTTACCTCCTCCCTAACTTGGAATGGCAAACTTGGTGCAGTCACACTTAGACCTGATCCAAGCTTAAGAACACACCATTTTTCCCTCACCATTTGGCCCTTAACTCTTACTCCCCAGTCTAGGTTTCTATCCTGCTGTGTTCTGTCGTAAGAATGGAGAAGATAACAGGGGGAAGAGCAGTGCAGAGTATTAGAGTCTACATGACAACTGTGCATGGTATCTCAGGCTGTGCAGGAAAATTCTGATACACGTGTAGTTTTAGCAGTGCCCCAGAATCCTTTCTGAAGATGCAAATTAACAGGAACTATCCACAAAGCTGATTTTTGCCAGATGTGCTATGCTGCTCTTCAAATTATCTAACAAGATAATACTGTATCAGTGTCAAAGCAGCTAATATTCCAATTAATAACCAGAGGAGTTTCCCATAGCCGCTGAGGGAAAGTAATTCTCAAATCCCAAACTACTGTCTTAACAGCCAGTTTTCACATTTGAAGTGAGTGTCACAGATAACACTAAACACAAGAAAGTAAATACAGAGGAAGGTGAAGAAGCCACATCTAAGCCAAACTTATTTGTATTTATGTAAATCCTTGAAAACCCAGTCCTTTGCAACATTAAACTGGCCACACCCTAACCCCTTCATTTGTTGCGTATTAGGACATTTCTGAGAACATTTTTGCTTCTCCGTAGTTTAATTCTGTGCTTGAAGTTTCTGCCACATGCCTAGACACAGCAATTCTCTGGAGCGCTGCCTCCATCTGCCTGGCATCACCCAAACCTGCTCCTGGCCACTCCCTACAGGATTTTTCAGTGGGTGCTCTCTGCACCTCATACTGTGTCAGCTGCATTTGTTTGGACAACCTCCATGAGCTGTTCAAACTAGCACTGCTGGCTGTGCCTGCAGCACACTAGGCAGTACTTGTAAACGTTGCTCAGTCAACTGAGCTTTCCATTTGAAAAAAAGGAAGTGCACACATGTAAAAAAATTTTGAGGGTCAATCTACACAAAGTGTTAGTGGGAAGCGTTTTCTTTTCTCTTACTACATAAAAGTAAACACTAACATCAAGTACCAGTGAAACACCAGCTTTCTCACCTAAGTGCAGGGTTACTAACCTCTGGGGAAGTGGAGAGGGGGAGATATCTGTAGAGGTACATCGTTAAGTAATACAGAAACATTTTAATCTGGAGTAGCAAGTACCACCATAGTCTTGCATCTAGCTTTAATGCAGTCACATTGAGATTCATACTAATTGTTAATCACATCATATAAAAAAGGCTATCAACAGAGAATAGGTAAGTATTTTTACAGGCTGTCACCAAACTCAAAGCCTTCATCATATCAGAGCCAGATCACTAGCAAAAGAAAATTTAAAATTATTTTAACACTGACAATATTGTTGGGGGGAAAAAAAAAAAAAAAAAAATCAACCTGAAATCAAGTCCCAGTATAACTGAATAATATTATGGAGTGGCTTATAGCATAAGCCATTTTATTAGGATAGTGGGGAGCGAAGGAAAAGAAAAAAATGAAGAACTCATGTGGACACAACTCATGCTTAAACAGCCACAGGAAAAGTTTTTCTTTGCTCCTCAGAGACATAAAAAGGCAATACGAAACTGCTGTGAAAACAGAAGCAAAAACCATATCCAATAAAACAGTTAAGTATATTAGTGTTCATACTTCTGATAAACTATACTAACAGGAATGATCCACCACTCGCTCTTTAGATTGAGTTGATCTTTTAGCATTCATCATACCTGACTTTTTTGCTGACGGTGGTAAGTTGCTGCCAGCACCTCCAGTGCCACCTCCTCCTGGACTGCCACCAACACCACCAGGGCCACCAGGGGAACCAGTTTTCTTGCTCAGGAGACTATTAAAGAAGTTAGCCAGGACTCCTTCACTAGTAGCTCCAGCTACACGAGGAGGGAGGAAAAAAACCAAAACAAACATGCAACACAAACCCAAAACAAGACAGATTTTTTTAAGTAAAAACTGATTTAGTGTATTAATCTAAATAAGTATATTCAAGAAAGCAGGCAAAGCATCTATTTTACTTCCCCGACTGCATTTGTGCCATCATAAGAAAAGGTACCTTTCATATTGGGATCGATTTTTTTGGATCCAGTTGGTATGGGTGTAACACTGGCAACATTTGATGTTACGGATCTATTTGGCGTCCTAGGAGATCCACCAGGAACTCTTGGAGAGGCATCCTGTGCCACAAAAATAAACAAACAGATAAATTAAAAAAATAAAAAAAAAAAATATCCAAAACTGAACTGGTCAGTCTTCTACAGAATTAAATTGTGTAGTGTAAGAGTACATTAAATGAAGCATTTTGTTATCTTCCACACCTCCTAGTAGTTTAATTTTGTAAAATAATGTGGTATCCCATGCAACTGAAATTCCACAGGATTGGATTCTGCTGACTGCAGACTCGTGTAACATTCTTAAAAATATTTACGTCAGTGCAACTAAAGCACTAGTGAAGCTTTTCATTTTATCCGAATGAGAAACCTGAAAAATCCATCTGTTACTCAGTAGAGCCTCTGACCGTAATGAAATCTGCACTGATGAGATCAGAGAGGAAACTACACCAGATTTCTGGGAAGGACAACACATATCACCAGTACTGTGGGGAAAGGACTAAACACAGCCCAGGAAAAAAAAGCATTATTCAAGGACAACTCATGTTTCCAGTTCATCTAAAAAGGTAAAACTACCTTTATAAGATCCCATATTCCCCATTAAACTTGGGTTACTTTTCAGTTATTTTATTTGTATTTTAAACGTAGATGATGTCACAGTTTTCATTTGGCCTTAATTTTATACCAGTCTTAGTAATCCTAGAGAGATAGTGCCAGATTTAGGATATAGAACTCACCAAGGGAATTCAACCAACAGTTTTCTCCCTGGCACACTACTGGGACAGAAAGGGGAGTCAACTAACTGCTTAGATACATTCTAAGGTACCAACAGTAAAGCTGTGACATTTAGCCCTTGCTGTCAGTACAAGTTGTTGTGACTAGGTGTGAAGAAGTGTTGGAATGTTAGAGCTGTATACGATGTAGACTAAATGCTATGTGGTTTAAAAAAAATAGAGCAAAGAATGTTTGATAGTGCAATCCTCTACAAGCAATCCTCTAAATATATGATTCATTTTCATGTGATGATATTTAAAATGTTTATCACTAACCACTGGCCGTCCTGCAGCAGTAGGTGGTTGTTTTGCCAACTGTGACTGCAAAAAACCAAACAAACCAATGTAGTGTTAGATATTACAGTGACTAAGAATACAATCCCAAATTTGTATTGAGAATGTTGTTAAATGAAGCGCTGGCTGCTTATAGACAGAGAATTACCTGCTGCTTCATAAGAAACACTTGGTCATCTTCTGCAACAATTTCTTTTTCATGAACAAACTGCAATACAAAAACATTAACGTACTTTTGACTGAAAGAAATAAATGTATTTCCTTTTATACCTCCTGGTGAATATAACCAAGGCATTCAATAATGAAGTAAATGTGTAAAATACCATACTGACTGCAGACTACATTTCCTACATTCAAGACTGCCACCTCATGATTCCATTTAAGTTAAATTAATTAGAAGTGAAATAGAAGTATCATTAACTCCTTTGACCTGGCAGGCATAAGTCTCTAGATCTACTTGCAGAAAGACCCATTAAAAAGTTCACTAAAGTGTTCAGTGAAAGAGGAATTAAATACATGGTTACAAGGCACATCCAGGGGTCTCAGGATCAGCAAGAAAACATTCACAGATGCACACTCTGCAGCACGCTCACATCTCATTAACTCAGAGGCCCCACCTTGGTATTATTTTATAGGTAACTATGGCAAAAGTGACTATTCACCTGTGTTGCATTAGACTGGTATAGGAACTGGACAAAGATATCTCAGATCCCAGTTCTACACATCAAATTACAAACACTCTCCCTCCAAATAAGCTCACCACAAAAGCTTTGCCAAAACAAGCATGGCGAATATCGATCCAAGTTTATAATACAGGCCTAAAGTTTGTAAGCATGCAAAAAAAAAAATAAATTGTCAGTTACATTTTCCTCGGACACTTATTTAACACGCTACTGTATATGTCTTGATTTTTTCCCTAAAGATTGCAAAAGGATATAGTATTAGTTTTCTCAGCTAAAATAATTCACGTTTGGAAATATGATCAGTCCCAAATTCTTAGCTTTGTTAAAAAAAGTCACAGAAATCTTTGCCTTCAGTAACTTCTGTATACATAGGGTCCATTGCTGCTGGCATTTTTTTCAAGAAACTCACACAGGCGTTCAGGTAGCTCTGTCAAAGCTTTTTGTTAAACACTACGAAAAGGAAAATATACTGAATATATGCAGCACCTGTTTTCACATGTTTCTTTTTGATTTTATGCTGTCTCAAGCTTTCTTATTTTAAATACTCCAATAGAAACAGAAAGCATTATAAAGTTGGGAGCAACTTGGAGCAAAATGGAGTGTTCTTAAATATTACTGACTAAGCCTGACCAACAGTTAAATGACACTTAGAATTTCCAATGCCAAGAATGTATTAAAAGCAAAACAGGTGTATTTGTAGTCCTGAACAATGTAACAGCAGCAGAAAAAAAAAAAAAACCAAAACAAAACAATGTAAGCTGGAGAATAGCTACACAGAACAAACGCACATCATGATTTTTTTGATCACTGAAGAAGAATGGTAATAACAAAAGGACAAAAGAAGACAACCCACACAGTTTGTCACACTCTTATGATAAACTGGAAGCGAAGTCTCAAAGAGAAACAGTCAAAAAACTGACAAGTAAATAAATAGATAAGTAGAATGCCAAAACATCTCAATTTACCTTTCTGACTGGTGGTTTGGTTATGATGTCTTCAAAACTGTCTTCTGCTTTTAGTGTCTGAAAATTCTCGTGCAATATTCCTATCTTCTTGTCATTATCCCAACCTGCAGGACTAGATAAAGGATTATTTGGCTTTAAATGCTATTGTTACTTCAGGTTATTCTTGCATGCAATCCTGAACTGCACAGAATTGAAAGCCAGGAAAGTGTCACAGCTCCTGTTCTCCTGGGCAAGCTAGTTATTGATGAGTACAACTCTTTAGAGCTTGGCTCACTGCAACAGAGAAGAGCAGAGTCTCTGGCTTTAACATTTCTCTTTGGGGCAGTGCGCACTTGTAATCCAGTGGCACTCAAACTCCAACTCATGGGATGGTGAAATGTAACTTTAAAAAGCATAAACAAAAAAGGCTCTAAATGCTGTTCAGGGTCTTGCACAAATACATTTTGTAGTCTCATATACATAACAATGCAGGTAACTTACATAAATACTGCATCTTTTTCCACAACAACAGCTGGAACATTGAAAGGAAATCCATACAGCTTCTGGACTATATATTTATACACTAAATCAATGTTTTTGTTCTCCTTTACTGAAGTGTAAATAAGTGCTGCCCCATCTGAATAAACTTGTTAAAGAAAACTCGGTTTAGTGGCTAGTAAGATACTGAAGTGACCAATTTTTGTTAGTTTAAAGGTTATGTACTTTGTAGAATTTAGAGGGGGGAATACAAAAATCAAATAGGTCAAACGACTTCCAACACTTAGTTTCTGAAATAAGCTATTCAGTAATTTAAATCTTTCTTTCTGCATTTGTTTTAGGCCAATCCAGCTACTGCTTTTAGAGTAAAGTACAGGCTTTTCTCACTTTCAAAGCCCACAATACCGAGTTTCACTGTGATGCCTTCAAAATTGTCTTCTGCTTTTAGCAAACAAGAATTTTCATGCCACATCCTTCCACGTCATCATTATCCCATCCTGCAACACAGACACTACAGCATTAACACTAGTAGCTTCAAAAAGGCCACAGATCTTTCACTTCCCCACTTGGGTTTTTAAATTAGAGGAACAAGTTCTTACATTATACAGCGATCTGCTTTTGAATGAAGTGAAGGCAAACAAGTTGCACTGTGTATCAGTCATTAAAAGACCACGAGTGTGCTTAGTATTCCAGCACGGTTCGGTATCAAATGAATAGAGTTTATGCACAGGATTAATAAAAGCAGCCAGGGAAGTTTTAAGTAATGTTTACTTTGAGATTATAAAAATGCCAAATCCCCTAATTTATTTCTACATGCATGCAATTCAAATTCTAGGAGAAAGTTATATCATGGGATCCGATTCCCATTTGGTGAAGTTTAGACTAGGATTCCAAGTTGTAAATGGCAGATACAATCACAGAGACTAATTTCTACTAATCTTTTGTATTCTTCCTCCATCCACAAGACTTCTTACAATTGCCTGTAATTCCATTTTAAAAAATTAGGTCTTGGCACTCAACTGAGGTTTCGGGTTCTTGAACTAATTTTTCCATCTGTTAACTGTTGTCCCTCCAACGGTATTTAAACTTCCCTTTACCACAGCACAAATGATGATGACCCAACGCAGCCATGTTACTAGCATCTAAAATCTAGTTCTTGGCATGTCTAACTGACTAAACAATACTAAACAGGATTTTATACATTTAAAAAGAAAGTTTAAAAATAATAATAAGACAGTGATAGCTTATGTGTATTGTCTCTGTACCAACACAAGAGAAACCGGTGGATCTTTCCTACACCAATTCACACTTCCTTCCTTCCTTCCTTCCCTCATCACCTCATCCTGTGGAATTACTGAACACTGAAAAGACTGCATATTTGGGTCAAGAAGAATAACATGCCTTATGTGTATCTGAAGCAAGATCATACTTAAATGAATTATCTTGTTATTATTTTTGGGAGCTTGTCAGCTAAGATGTGTTGATTTGTGATCTGACTCCTAAGTATGGAAATGAAGGCAAGTAAAGAAATTAATGATAAAGAGACATGCTAGACTCTTGCAGCTCTGTGAAGAAAAAAAATAAAAAACCCACAAAAACAAACCAGAAAAGTCATAGAGGTAGCTGAAGCAGACTGCCAGCTACAGTAAAGGAATTGAATACTACTTTGATATAGGTGCAAATAGTCTTTTAAACTGGTCATAATAAATGCAAGTATTTGAGTCATTATCATCTTTATGATGTATGAAAGGATACATTGTAAGCAAAACCGTCTGATATGTGACTGAATGAAGTCAAAGTGTTCATCTCTGTAGTCATGCTCTTTTTCCAGAACGCTGATGGCATCACACTGTCAAAAGAAACACAAAATTAATATAGCACTTCTAGTTATCTGTTGAAATAGCAGTGCTGCTACACATCCAGTTCACAACTGGGCAAGGGAGATGGAGTGGGGTGGGTGGCACAGAGGAAAACAAAAACCTGCTAAGATAGTTTAGAAGTATAATTGAACCTTTTCTTTTTTGAACAATATATAACTTGATGTGCATGCACTGTGGTCAGCACTAACTCAGGAGTTAAAGTGAGCACCATTTTTCATTTACTCCCCCCTCTTCAATGCAGTAACTCAAAGTCTCTCTTGAAAACTGACCCACTGAATGACACCCCAGTTTTCTGCCCAATGTATTTTTACACACTCTGGTATTACCGGACATAGTGTTTTTTATCCAGTTAATAATTAGCCTTTTTCAAAAGGGATGCAAAAGCAAGAAATGTGGAAGCAGGAAAAGAAAAAAAAAAAAAGAGTGGGGGGCAGGAGAGAGAGAGGAATAATAGAAAGCCAGCAGGTGAGAAGAAAGGTGCCTTTCAAATGAGAGGATTAGCCTTCCAGTGAAGGAACAGCATATGCATCAAAAGGTTTATTCTTTCACTCTGGGCCATCAGAGGCTGCAGATGCAGTATGCTTAATGCCAATGAGAACTGAAGAGCCAGGGGGGGAGAACAAAACCACTACCAGAAAAAAACCCCAAGTCACCAGGAGAAGCACACCATTTTTTTTTTCTTTAGAATAAGAATATGGTTACGTATCTAACAAACCAAAACAGATCACAGAAACGCCCCAAGAACTAAGGAAAGTTAACAGAGCAGCACTTTACTAACTAGAACCCTCAAATATATTAATCTTCAGAAAAAGATCAGAAATACTAAAAAAACCTACCAAAACACTATTTGTGAAATAAGGACAACTGTGGAGATCAAGGGGAATTCTAGCTGCTCACTGACTAGCTCTTTTCTGTGAGCAAAACCAGGTTTGAGGTATTCCTCAATGCCTAGAAAACTGATAGAACTAAAGGAAAAACTAATCCAAAAATAACTTGGGATTAGCCAACTTCTGATTGGCTTCCAGAAGATAACCAACCTTCAACATTAAACAGTTTTAAAGATTTCTTATGCAAGGTATTCAGAATGACTTAAGAACCATGTACTTCCCACCCCAAATCCACAACTGACAGAGTTGCTTATATAAAATATGCAGAAAACCTGAAACGTGAAACAAACCTTTGTACAAACTACTACTACTGGAATGCCTAAGTTACATGTTAGTGTATCTGCACCCAGGGGTAAAATCACACTGTCATCTTTGTCTTCCTGTAATGAAGTATTTCTTCTCTGTGGAGAAGCTGGAAAATCCTCGCCTGGTTCTATATATTCCTGGAAGTCTCTTACCACTGAAAGTAAAAAAAGTGATATTAAAAGATCAGCTACTTTATTATTTCAACAATTATTTCCACTGCCATTGATCTTTAGCACTATTATATAGTATTTCTGCTTCTTTATGTTGAAAAAATTGAGCATGCACCAAGTGCTGACTACTCGTTTGCTCTGTGCAGCACAAGAGAGAACTAGTAAGTTGGAGATCTGCTTGAGCAGCAGCCAGAACATGATCAGATGAAATTGTCCATAAGGACAGCATTAACCCATCTTTATTTTATCACTGTGGAACCACTAGGCAGTTGCTATTAATTATTGCTTGATATATTTCCTAAAGGACACAAGTTTCCTTGCATTCTTCTTGGCAAAATTAATGGAACAGTTTGTTAGCATAAATTAAGCCTTACATATATTGCTTAGCTGCTACCGTGTACCAGGTTTTACCTACAACCCCTTTGTCCACTCCTGTCTGTCTCTCTGTAAAAGTGAATCTAAAGTGATAATAAGCAAAAAGATTAGAATGCACAAACAGTAGTTATTAATTAGCTTTATAATTAGTTAATAGCATGTTAAATATTTGGTATGCTTTTACAATAGATTAGATACTATTTAAAAATTCAGCAAAGGAGAGTAAATCAGACTATAGCAAGAATTAGGAAAAAAGCAAAAGTTTTACGTGCAAATCTTGTCAGATGCCGATGCATGCACCCAAGCCTCTAAATACACAGCCACTTGCTATTCCTACAGTCAGGGATGCAATATTAGGCATAAAATGGCTGTACATTTCACATCATGTCCTGCTTCACACGGCAGAAGCAAGATTCTACCAAAACCCACCACTGATCACTCTTCCATGAGTAATACATCCCAGGTTCAGCCAAAAAGTCAAGCAGCAAGACAATTTAGCTGACTCATGCACACTAGCAGCTAAGTACTCCAGTATATTCTTACTGCTTTGTCCTGATTTATGTTAATCTAACCCTACCTTCACTAAACTGATTGAAGCCCTCTGAGTTTATACCTAGAAAAGTATTTGTTGAATTAACAGAGCAAGACTTATTTCAACATCCTACAGAAAAAAAGTGTGTTAGGCCAAGATTATTCAACTTTTCCACAGATCTTGGAGTTCCCAAACAAAAAGCACGTGCGCAGATTATCACCTCTACCTGAACAGTCATCTCGGGCTCTGATTCAGGGAATGCTGTCACTTCAGTCTGGTCTGAGACCTTCTGAGAGCCTCCCATATTGACCGTGCTTTAAACCCAGAGTTGTCACCAAGATATGTCAGCCACTCACGAGAATCATTCCAACACAGCGTCCTCTCTGTTCTGGGATAATTGCACGCTAAAATAAAAGTCACACTATTCCAGTGCTAGAAGTCCTCCAGTGGATTTCTAAAATTCTTGCTGTAAGAGCACGACACACTAATTTTTATACAAATACAGAAAATGGTAAAAAGGAGAATTGTTTTAGTGTATCACAGCTCAAAGACTGTGGAATACAAGCTAAGGTCTTCCTTAGAGACACAGTTCAAGTGACCAGGACCCAAGGCTTCATTAGGCACTGATGAATTCAGGAAGAGCTACACCAACCCTTCGCAGACAGCTGCTGTGTATCCCTCAATGCCCTCCCATACCAGTTTTAGTCCTGACAGGGTCTGTCTTTGTGTGGAGTTAAGTTGTGAGAACTGAAAGACAAGCACAGCATCATGGCTCCAGAAAACTACACATACAAACCCTTAAGTAGATTTCAGTCCTGTTAGCAAGTTAAATCAGTGCACAGAAGCACTGACCCTGACACAAGAATAAAGTAGGACCATGTAGCCAAGTCAGGCAAGCAAGATTCCTCCCTCCTCCTTTTGGCAGTGTCAAGCTGCTGCCCGCCAAGCTGAAGCCACATCACAAGAGGTTCAAAACTACTACAGCTTCCAGTCGTAATCTGGTCTGTGTCTAAGGCTCCTATTATACCCAGCACACAGACCACCAGTATCTAAGAATTAGACCAGACAATAAAAGAACAAAAGAGCATACAAAACTTTTACTGAGTGGCTGTTTTCCTTTGATTCACATTTTCTGGATTTTGTAGAGCGGTAGTTTCACTAGTCTGTTCGCTCAGCCAGTAGAGAAACAAAACTATCAGCTAGAGATATTCATAGATATTAATAGGTAACAGAGATATTGCATCCTTACTACTTTCACCCAGTAGAATCCTACCCTGAAACTGTTCAGGGGGGTATTTAACACATGCAACCTCCCGCTCCTAAACAAGTTCTTGTTGTGGAAGGTAAGATTCTCAGGGATGTTACTTCCCTTAGAAGAATCTCTCTCTTAAAAGAATAAACAAACCAACCAAACCCTCCCCCCACCTTCCACCCCCATTCCAAAGTATCTACAACTGTCACCTTATGGGCTCCTTTATCACAGCACAGCTACAACCCGCATTTCTGAAAAAGCTATTCAGCAATCTGGCCATCAGTTCCTTAAGAACATACCAGTTCCAGAGAGCAACTTCAGACTTGTAAACAAAGTTTAATCGACTATTTGGTCTCAACACACAGCTTTCTCAAATGCTCTTCCTTGTAGTAATTCACTGAGATCTGAATGGGAAAGACTCATGTTTTAGTACTCCAAGGGAAGTAAAATGGCTGCCCAAAAGTGATACAGAGCTGTGGTGTTAGTGAGTTCAGTCAGTTTAAGGAATCCTGCAAAATCTTTGTGCTATGCATGTTTAAAAAGACAAGACACTGACAGAGCTATATCATACACATGCCAAAACAAACATATAGCTGCATAAGTGTCAGTAATAATTATGATAAAACTCTTCAAGTATGAAGGGCCCAGGAATTACCATGCTGTCATGAATCCTCTCAACATTTACACTTTTGGCAGGCAGAGAACAGGTGCCAGGTTCTATAGACTACTAGTTACAGGAACAGTTAAGAAGTTGATGAAATGATTTGCCTCTTAAATAAATACTTGAAAGCTAAGAAGTTTTTTCACTTGCAGAATCTTATCTAGAAAAATCTGTAAGAAGCAAGATTATAAATTCAGCTGTGTTCACTCTGAAAGCTTTTTTTTTTTTTTCTTCCTAAATTAAGGTACTTCTGCTAGGAAGAAATACTAGTATTGTTCATATAGCCACCTGAGACTTATTTGAAGCTTGACTTGCTTAATAACTCCTAATTTTAAGTAACATTTCCAAAGAATGAAAAAGACTGCAATGGAGAGATTAAATGGTGCAGAAAGCATTAAGCGTATTTGATTTAAATGGGTTCCTAGGTATTTGCAGAATACTCACACTTTTGTTCCATTTCTTTCATTTCTTCAGGAGGAATTTTTAACTTGTCAATATGTTCTCTTACAACACTTGCCCATTTTTGTAAAGAATCCAGTGCAGTCCAAGGCCTAGACATGTCTACTACCAACATAATTAGAGTGTCCTTTAGAGAGCTTGCCTCCATCGCAAATTTAAGAAGACCTTTGTGATACAGGTCACCATCCAAAATCCATACATTGCATCTTGTTTGGTCTACAAAAAAAAGGAAAAACTTTTTATGAGACCTAGTTGGAACAGTCCACTACTTAATAGCTAATAGATCTTCTCTAGCCATGTAAAATACAAGGCAGAAAACAGATGACATGTTTTATAGGGCAACTGAACATACATAACAACACAGCAGACTGCAGCTTGTGGAGACTCCACTCCTCTTCTAAACCCTGATGTTTAATGGCTGATAACTGAAGACCTTAAATACATTATCTGAAAGTAAGAATCCAGAGATAGCGTTCAACACTTCCAAAATTAATGTTCATCATTTTAGAGAGGGAAGAATGTTTTCTTCAGGACACAATTTAGAAAGGGAGAAATTAGGAGATTTTGGGGATACCTTCTCAGCCCCCGAACTGCTCAGTTCTCAAGGTCTGACATCTCCCCTTCAAAACCAATGTGATATGCCTATATAACTCAGAGTACAGAATGTACCTTGGCCCTTCAGAAAACTGGAGCAGAACTTAAGTTTTTAATTATTTAAATGGACTTAACAGACAAGAAAATAACTCTCCAGATTTGCAAAAGGACAGCCACCACACAAATAGTCCATCCCACAGCTTTTTTCCCCCCAAACCACCATACACTCAAATATTTAGAGACACTTCTGCAGTAAATTAAGAGTTGTTGATTCAAAATTAGATAGCTTAACATAATTACAGTTTGCCTTCAGGTCAATTTTTATTACTTGTTACAGAAGTTCTGAGAAAGACACTTAGATCAAACTCTTAATCTTCTTAACCATGGTCAAGTCATCTTGGAGACCAACAGTTAGACATGGAAGTGAGGAAAGCAGGTGATTTCAGAAAAAAGGGGCCAACTTCTATTGTTTCCCCTATCTGTATTTGTTCTTAATAGTATCCACAAGAGTTCTAATTTTTCCCTGCTGCTCCCAGTATATCCTTATTCACACCCCTCTCCCTCTAAGTATTGCCTCTAGATAATTCATCACAACCCTGCAGTGCCTGGTCATACTCCATCCCTTGTTTCCCCACATATAAACATCAATTATCCAGACCCCAAATACCTGCAGTTACAGAATGGATCTTAAACATCTTTTTTACCTTCTAGCTATAAGCCAACTCAAGCCAGTTGAAACACAGCTTCTACTTTATTTCTCGTTCCTCCAGATTTTTCAAAGGTTGGTGGTTTCGCTTTTTTTGTTGTTTGTTTGGTTTTAAAATCTCCTTTAGTATTGCACACATTTTCCTACCCATCAATATGTGATATGTAATCCTGCAGATTCTGATACCTTCAAGACAAAGATTTCTCTGTATGTGCAAAAAGGTAAATACTTCCTATAATAACTGAGATGCAAGGTAAGAGCCTAGGCATTTTTTTCTCTAGGCCTGAAGAATGTATCTCCATTCAGAATATTAGAGCTAAGACTGCCTCCCTGTTCTTTTCAGCCTCTTCTTTTGACTGGTTCCTCTCCTCCTCTACCAACTAAGGGATCATTCATGTTATCTACTAAAGGAATTACAGTGAGAAACTTCCTCATGATACAAATCACTCATGGCCCAAACTGGACTCCTGCAAATTATAAAGAAAGAAAAGCATACCACTGTCATTCCAAATGCCGCTCTACTGAACCACTGCTTTCAAACTGGTGTAAGATATTATTAGAAAAGCAAACTCACCATCTCGATCTTCGTCATGCACATTTAAATACAAATACTCCATTCCTCTTCCTTTTTTGTATTCCTCTATTCCTTGAATTTTTCCTATTAAGCTAGTTTTACCTGCTCCATCTTCACCTGGAGAGAGAGAAGTTAGATATCACTCAACCTTTAATCACAGTTACGTATTAAAAAAACACCTGGAGCAAGAAGGAAACCGCATACTAACAGGGTGACTGAGCTCATTCAAGTTTTGAAACATAACTGGCTTTGCCCAAATCATCTGTCTGTTCAAAGTGCATCCCTCATCTTCAAATCTTATTTCTGATTACTGATAAATGCAACTATGCCACTAATGAGCCTATTTGAAATAGGCTCTTACACATCTCTTTAAAAAGATACCTTCAGGAGTAAACACATCAAACAATTTCAGTCTTTCAACTGCAACCAAAGTGGTAACAAAGTCTTTCTAAAGTAGAGTTCAAGTCACAGTTAGCTCATCTTATGATCAGAAGAATACGAGGTAGAACTCTCTCATACCAAACAGCACACAACACACGGCTGAGTGGGGCAAATCTGCTTTCGTAGCTTTTATGGGTTGGTTTCTTTGAATATTTTCTCCCTTACAGGTCTAAAGAAATCTTAAAAGGGGGTGACAAACAGTAAGTCTGTTGCCTTACAACACAAGTGTATTTGGGTACACACACAGTGATAAACCTGCAATCCAGATCCACTCACTCCTATCCTCTCCCCTCCAAAGGGAGCTCAGGTAACCAGTGAACCTTACAGCTTAAGCACAGCGTAAACACCTCAACTACTGCCAGAGACTCTCCTTGAAAATCTATAAAAGCCATATATCCCAGAGCTGGAAAACTGCACATGCAGTTTTTCCAGTTTCAAAGAGCGATCATGCTGAATTTGGACACAAAGCAGCATTTTGCCACTCTAATTTGGCAGTACAATGGGTACATAACAGTCAGACATCAGAAAATTCTTGGAACTCATTCACAGATTATAAAATTAAGATTAAAACCAGGGTCCTAAGAAGGACCTTATCAGTTTTATGCCAAACAGAACATTCCTCCCTCCCCCCCGCCCCCCAGGTCTCTCCTGTACAGGAAGAGTATAAACACTTGCTTTTAACTACATAACGGAGTTCAAGGACGACAATTCTCACTGCTAAACATAATGAAGTTTTTCCTTTAAGGGGAACTGACCATGATCTTACAGACAATGTTATGGCTACATTAAGAAGACTACAGATGTAACTACAGAAAAGAGCCAAAAAATCATACTGTGATAGACTGATTTTGAATTTACTCAGCATATCATTTCCCAAGATTACCGCATGAAATCTTCAATTTAGAGTTCAGCTTTATTTTCAGATTTCACTAATAGTCTGTTTACTCTACATTGCCCAGGGGATCTTACTCAATGGAATGAAAAGGCCTTAAATAAATAAATAAATTAAATGAGAGAAAAATAAGACCAGAACTGAATTGTAGAATCTGGTTAAGCGCTGATAAATTAAATGAAAAATTAAATTGTATCAGTTTAACTTCTTCAACATTTAAGAGTTTGTTTGCTAGTTCCTTAACTATATTAAAATAAGACACACCTAAGAAAACAATTAAAGCTAGTTTTAAATAAACATTGGAAAGCACAGCTATTTTCTATTCATACATCCAGCTTTTCCTCTTCTTGTGAGAATATTCTTTTAAATAAAAATTCTGCCCAAGAAGTGAAGAGTTCAAGCTTCGTCAGAGATGAATTACAATTCCTCCTCTGCCCTCACCCAAGTACTTATTCAAGCTTCTTCAATTTGTCATCTACAACTAGGGAGACTTTATTAAGAGCTGCTGCACTGACATGTTATGCTGCTGAATTTGCTATTACTTTTGCCAACAAGTTCTGTATGATTCATTCTGTTATTTTACCTTTTTGAACAGGCAGCTTCAGTTACCTTGTGCCAGCAGAAGGCCCAAAAATTAAAACAAAACGAAATTTGTTATTCCTTTTAATGAGGAGTTACACTTAATAGCTTTCTTAGTTTCTCAGAACAGCTGAGTTCTAGCCAAGTTTTCTTACATACTAGTTTGTTTCAGAGGTGGCAATACAGATTACGTGTTTGCATTGGGAAAGCTTAGCATCTTCTGTAAAGTACATCTGCCAGTTCTTAACAAAAGTGGCTCCAACTGAAGTCTAAGAAACATCTGCTATGAAAAGTTTTAAATATGCCGAAAGATACACTTAAGCAGTCTAAACTAAAACATTCTTACACAGATGCTAGTATCTATGCAACTTCATTGTTCGAAAGCGCTCATGCTAAACAAAATAGGCAAACTTGAAATACACGTCCCACAAGCCCCTTACTTATCATGGCTGTGTGTTGTGTGATTTCTTCCCCACTCCCATATTTCCAAATGCCTGAAGTTAACTGGAGTTCAATACTGTTAATATCTTACAGCAAAGTATGAGCTAGAATTTTATTTTCCCTCCTCAAGTTGCCCAGTAAGTATATTCAGACCCTACACAGAATGAAATGTTATCAGTATAGCATAAGACAAGTTGAGTTGATGTAAAATTAGTACCTTTGGACACATACGCACACGCAACAGTAATTTCAGCCTTCCATCACAGAATTACTTAATCTGTTCTTCTCTCTCTACTCCCTTCTCCTTAGCAAATATCCACCCATTTCAAAACTCCGAGATCAGGCAGGTGGACCACTGACATACATAATTGTATCATACAAGTTACTGCATGCAGAGAGCAGTGCTCATCATTCACTAGAAAGCCAGAATGATGCATCAGTGATATTTGAAGGGATTGGTACTACCTTCATTAATTACTCAGGTAGACAAAGAGTTTACAGATGATACAGAAGAAACCAAAAGATCTGTGGAGAAAAGGGTTAGAAGCAATCAAGAGGTTCAAAACAAGCTAGCAATGCATAAACCAACTAGCCTGCAAATAAAACACCACACTTGCGAGGGTGCAAGATAGCTGCCTAGCCCTATTCCACAGAATATCGAGGGTTCTCAACAAATTAAGGACAAATTAAGTCAATATTATGTAAAAAGCTGCCAGAAAGTAGAACTAGGACAACTGTATATGACATAAGGAATTCCCCCTTTTTGCCCGTACAATTCATTATGGAAAGTTAAGTAAAGATACCTGCCTTGGCCAAAAAAACATGCTAAGACTTGAGGTTCCACCTACCTCTACTTTCTATTCTAGTATGTTGCATATACCTTTTAAAACTGTGACAGCTGCAGATGTATTTGTATACTTGTTATTGATTTATTTTTTCCAACATAAAGTCTTCATTATAAAACATCTGAAAAGTCAACACTTTGAACATACTGAGTTATGCTGGGAAAGAACAGCAGTATAATTTTGCTTTGTAGTTACTCTTCAGCAAGAATATCAAAATACAAATCAATCTTAAACCAGTGCTTATCCAAAACTCCTGAACAATTATTACAAATCTCATTAGCAAATTAATTCTAAACATATGCAATGCTAGCTTTTAAGACTTTTCAAAAATCAAACATTTTATTGTAATGCCTTTAGTATGCATAGAAGCTTCTCTCCACCAGAGGAGGGGGGAAATATCTGTGTGAAAATTAGAGTATATTAGCTATGTTAGATTTGATAGATAAGGTACAGCACAGTAATGCAATTAGCATTAAGTACTACCAGGGACATATATGAAAGTATATGTGATTTTTAAAGAAAAATAACTTCTCAATAAGAATACATATATACACACATACTATATGGCATTTGAAATTACAAACCCTGAGATTTTTAGGCAGAGTTATCTTTTTTGCTTCTCTGGATATCTCTGAAGTATATGAAAAAGTAATGCTGCTTAGTTTCAGACAACAGGGAAATTTTGTATTCCTCAAACAACATTGCATATTAATATTATGAAACAGTTTGGGCTCTTTTGAAGTGCTACTGAAGCAATATATAAAACAGAGCCTCATGAGCCTTAAGAAAGAGTCATCATCATCATCAACCTCCTCCTCTTCCCTCCAAAATTTTGAAATGGAAAATCCTTTAGCTGTTTCTTTATTTCTAACTGTGCGATAATCAAATCAACAACTGACTTCTGTAAGCTCACAGAGCAAAACATTTCTGACACACAATTCTCGATATAGAATTGCAAGGTAGAATAAAAATCAACTAGATTGTTGCTAATTTAAGATTCTGCATCCTTCTTTTGCAAGTAACATAAAAGGTCCTCCTTTTCCAAAGTAAATCATAAAGAACTACAATTCTCCATCACGTCAAACTACACTTACGCATTAATACGACAGAGAGGAAACAGAAGTGATGCTCCTACCAAGCAGTGCTATACACCAAAGCTGAACAGAAGTAAGAGGGACAAATTTCATTTGGCAGAAGACTCAGGCTAGGAAGCAGTTGAAACAAAGCCAAACCAATCTGCTTACACACCGTATTTCACCGTCTTGTTAACAAAATAGAAAGTCTTGTACTCAACTAAACATAAAGCCGTTTCATTTTTATCCCCACACGGCTACACTTGACTCCTTCGATGAGCTGAAGTTTGGGGTTGTGCTGGTCAAAGCTCCCCTGTCCAAGGTGCTACACTGTCTACAAGACAAGAGTTTGAAGACATCCTTCTTGTTCATGTCCTCAAAGATACAGGATGCCATAATACAAAACCCTGCCCAGCCTCCTCCCTCCTCACCACTCCAGGCAAAAAGTATGTTTATTGAGTGGAAAATGGAGTGTCACTAAATGTTCTGCTCCAATACAGAATTTAGCAGAGCAGCCACCCGTAGATGGGAAGGCTGGGCATTGAGGTGAATGAATCACCTTCTGTGAATGCAGGCAAGCAGGCACTTACCTGCAAACTGCTACTGAAACTGTTCAACCATAAGCTGTCATATTAGTGAGAACTTAAGCTCTCTATTACAGAGCTTCCCTAAACTTTCAATTAAACATTTTAAAGTTAATATTTCCTACTCATGTTACTTCCACATTTCTTTCAGTTTAGAAAAATAAAACTGAAGTAGATTTTCACTTGTCTTAAGACACTTCTTACTTCTTACAGAAGTCTGTACATGGAAAGGCAATCAATGTGTCGTCTCCAAGACAGACATGAGTTTTGACTTTTTATTTAAATTGCTTCTCCATTGTAAAGTATCAAGTGTGTTTAAAATATGCCAAGGCAAAGAAGCAAGAGGTGAATGTTTCTTTTGTGTCATCACTATTGTTGGTCTGCCCCTCTTACATCCTCCTGGTTCCTTGATGGAGTTTTTTTATTTGCTTTTTAAAACCATCAATTAAAATTCAGCTTGATATGGGAATTACACAACTCATCTCTAAAAAGTATCCTCAAGCAAGGCCAAGTACAATTACAGATACAGGTTCTAACTAACCACTTCCGCCTGCCCCAAGAGACATATTTTTGTAAACTAGCTTTATACTTTTTACAAAATAAAAGACAGCTTCTGGGTAGAACAATTCACATCTAATATTCTGAACACAAAATATTGAATACTTTTGTTAATAGAAAAAACACACCTCAAATATAATAGAACAAAGTCATCAAACCCAAACCTGAGTTATCAAACAGCACAAAGATGCCTTCCCAGATTCACAGAGCAATCCCTATCCTACACTGTGTGGAATGTCTGACTGCTAATACAGTGGAGTAAAGACACAACAGTCTTCTTCCTACTAGAACCAAGTGCATGTGTACTGTAGCCATTTTCAAGATAAAAATACTACTCACAAGCTAATAACTGCCTTTTCTACAGCTGCGTATTAGTGAAAGAGACTTGTTTACACATACTATACTAATTGAAGAACGCCTTTTGCAGAACAAGACCAAAATAATCAGAGTTAGGCAAATTTAGTTTGCTTTCAGAGAACTGAAGAACAAAATTAATTATACTGATGAGATCCTTCTCTAGAATCCCTCAAAACAACATGGAAGTTCACAATAAGTAGGTCATATCAAGTCTTCAAATAACTTGTGTGATTTACTCATCACACAAAAAAACCCCTCTCCTCTCAGTTTGTTTTACTCCACCAGACAAGTCTTTCCCCTCACATATGATGCATTTGGTATCTTTGTGGCACTGAAAAATTAAATAACTTTTCTGATGAGCACCTTAATTGCACTTGTGTTACAATATGATAGAAAGCAGATTGTAGACAACTGTTCCAGCATGGCTTTTGTCAAGTCCTGCATAAGAATACAGTCTGACCATGGAAACAGATGCAGCAGTAACAGAGTTATATATGCTCTGAGAAAGCTAAATATTGCAGAGAATACTATAGTGACTGTGAAGAGTATATGTATCTCATGCAAACCTCCTTCTTTAACACAGCTGCAAGTCATCCATTGTATGTTATCCAGCTTCACTACCAAAATAGAATAATCCTGTGTTATTATCAAAGGGGCATCTTTATCAGTACTCCTGCCACTAACCTGCCTGGAGAACACAGAAGCACAATTCCTTTCACTGTTCCTCACCCTTCAGAGCTATTTGAGGTAGATCCTGTAATCAGCAGCACCTCTGGTGAATCAGAGACAATTTAAAATACATGCAATTCAAAAATTTCAGAACTTCCTGTACTGTTCTAAGTAAGTTTTACCACACAGCATCCATGTAACTCTAGCTTTTTGGGAAGGTATTAGTAGCAGGAAGGATACAACAACGAAATACTACTTAGATCTAAAAAAACATAACTGTAAAACAAGCAATTGGAATTTTATCTAGGTCAATGTCCCATCAAAACAATTGACGCTTTAGAAGTATAACTGCTGACTGAAACAAAACTTGCCTACATTTGGAAGGCTTTCATTGCCTGTAGAAGGTGAAGAATTTGCAAGAAGGAGGAAAACAAGCTATCTGACTTAACTTCTGCAGTACTAGAGAATTAAGAAACATTTGAGATGAATAATATGGACAGTATCAACAAGCAGTATTTCATCAGCCGTAATGATAAAACGATCACGGCAAAACTTTCAGCTATTTGGATAGGAAAAAATAAAGTGGAAAAGTAATTTTTAGTGTTGAATACAAATTTAAGTAAACAGATTTTATATACTCTCATGACAATTCGTGGTATTACAACTTAATTTTAATGTTTACTATATTCCATGGGTCAACTAAAAGTAGCAAGCTAAAACTGCTCTTCAAGATGTACCATTTTCTACAATAACAGCCATTCCCAATACATGTACACACAGAAAAGTGTACCTGTAAATTAGCTGTAGACTGTGGAAACTTCTTCTCAAGCAGCCTGACAGCCACTGGACAGGAGCAGAGCTCAAAGATTCAAACAATCAGGCCTGGCCCTGAAAAGTCTGGGGTAAAGAGAAAATGTGGACAGAAGGCAGCTGAACACTCACTGCCCACTAAACTCAAAGCCTTTATCATCAAGAGGGGTAGAACGCATAAAGAAAACCAAAATGCTAGTGATTCAGTAGAAGCATAAGACACTTGGAGTCAGATCTGTATGTGTCACCAAATGTAGAATTACAGGCAAAGAATCTACTATGCTTCCGAGACAGGGGAATGGATGAAATACAAGACCAGATAGAAAGCAGCTGTTCTGTTCACTTGCAAGCTGGGAGTCTGTTTTTTTGTGCATCCTGGAATGACTTTGAACATTACTGCTTGCATGCATGCTGCGCTTTCCTGGATAAATGATTAGTTTGGGTCTCTGAAACCAAGCCTTCACACATTCTATAGCACTATGGATTCCATCTGTAACCTGCAATGGTGACTTCTTAGCTGCTCCCTCTGTTCTACTTGCTGGTTCAGATATAATTCTATCAGAAAGGGAATGAACAAGAGAGCTCCCAGTTACAAGCATCAGTTTTCTCACAGTCAACAAAAAGCACCTCCTCTGATCAGCTACCTTTATTACACAAGTGAGCAGAAGACAGTCCAGGAACAAAAAAGAAAACAAACCCCAGCAACAACACAATCACAGTCCTTTGGCTATCTGCAAAAAGTAGCTACAAGTGTCACCGAGAACACCCAATTTCCTTAAGAAAGCAGGGACATCCTCTAGCTTTGCTCACTATGACAGAACTGCCTAGGAAGCAGAACATACTTGCCTTACAGAAAAGTTTAGGATAGCTTGCATTTTGATTATTTGTTCATACAAGAGCAGGAAAATGCTTTTATGCTACATGCAGTGCCAAACCAAAGTTTAATGTCTTCACAGAAAAAGTTATTGAAAAAATGTCTGCAAGTGAAACAGTTTTTGTGAAGTAAAACTGTAAGTTACTTTTTTGGGGGTGATTTTGAGCAAAGAATTACCAGTATTACATGTTAACCTTCAGTTTACAAAACTATGTGCCATATCTGGAAATTAACATTTGGCATTCCAGTTTCCTCCAGTCTCCTGTGATGTTTTGAACTGCTTTCCAGGTTCTTAAAAATGAGATATTAACATAGCTAAAAATAAATACCAAAATAGCAGAATTAGCATGCCAGACATAGTCAGGTTCCCAGAACAACTAGGCATACGAGTATATTCAGTATTTGAAAAATATAAATGCTGTAGACAAATTAGAAAACTTGTCCTAGTAAACAAAAGAACACTACGTGGTGGGGTTTTCTGCTTGGTTTTTCTGTGGGTTTTTCAGGGGGAGGGCAGGTTGGAGACTTAGGGGCATTTTTTTTAATGCAGTTTGTATTGAGAACAAGCATTAATTTGTCACTACACATCATGTTTCAGCTGGGAGGCTCTGACCAACATAACTGTTTATACTGCAAACATTTGCCTACCACAAAATGAGTGAAAACCATCAAGACCCTGGTCAGCTTTACAACTCCTGCCTAAAAGTATTCAATGAATGATAAAACTTAAAATAGTCATGGCAAGAAGTGATCTGTATTAATAACAAAAGCTAGTACAAGACTATTTAAAGGAATACAGTTTAAAAACAGAGGAAATGATAGATAACAGAGAAATTGCAAACACACAGCGCAAGAACCTGAAGAGACAGAACTTCACACACTTGAACTTGTCCAATCCAGAACACCTAAGACCCTTCCTTTCCCTGTGCCAGTGTACTTCAGGAGCAGCATCATGACCCACAAGTGAACAGCAAAGTGTAATACATGGATTAGGTATTCTCACAAAGAACATGGCCATAGTCCTCATGGGCCAGCCCCCAGATCTGCTGCTGTTTCCTAAACAGATGCCAAACTTTTTTTTTTTCTTGGACCACGGCTTTCTAAAAACCACAATTCCCAAGACAGAACTAGGATTTCTTCTACAGATCTGCACATCTTTAAAAAAAAAATGCATCAGTCAAAAAAAAAAGTTACATTAAGTCAACCTATAAGCTATATATGAACAGATAAAAAGAAAATTTCTATACAACAGATTAAACATCACAAATTAAATGAACATTTGGAAACATTCTTCAGTGCCCACTCTAGTTCTGAAGGAAGCACAGTCTCCAGTTATTGAGTACCAAGGACTGCCTGACTACAAAGAGAGAAAAACCAAGAGTGTAATATTCTTGACAAGGATCACAGCTTGAGAAAGAATCTTCCAGCTTCAACAAGGACAATCATCTAATTTAGTTTCAAAATATCATGTAAAAAGATGTCAATTATTATGAAATCATTCCTTTTGCTAGTATCAATAGAATTTCCAATCTCAATATGCTCCTTAAGGACGTAACATAAAAAGCAACAAATTAAAGGGTAGTAAGTCTTGCAACAGGTTCACTAGACCATTCCATCATCCTTGCACAGTTTTCGCCTTCACAGTCAGTTTTAAGTCACCACTCGGTTCATCAAAACAGGAAGAAAAGGGTCACAGTGATTGCTTTAGGATTATGGCAAAAAAAAACTTAACTTGAAAAACCTCAAGAGAGTACAAACCACAAGACTACACAGAATCATGGTGCGCATAGTCTGCATGAGTATCTTTTGTGGGTTTTAACTGTGTTTCCAAATACTAACGCACAGTTCTTTCTGGGGATAGGGAGTTTGGCAAAGGAGGGAAGCAGCAGCTAGTTAACAAATCCATCCACTCGGATTCATTAAGTTGTCTACTGGTAATAGTATTTCATAGTCTTTCAGCCAAAAAAACCACCAACCACTAATAATTATAGCAATAATATATGTGTGTGTATATATATATACACATACACATTTGAGAGCACCCATTTTTCCCCCTTTCCCATTAAGTTTATTTTTGCTTGACATACAATTTTTTTTTTTTTTCTCCTTTCCCTCAACACTGACTAATAGCCGGGTGTCTCATTATCGCCTTACCAAAGTCCCATTCTGAAACTTCTGATCCTTGCCAAACGCCCGGCTGGACTAACGCACTGGGTGGAGATAACAGCTAACACAATGAAAGGCGGCAGCAGCAGCAGCAGCAGCAGCAACCGATGCCGCCACCGCACAACTTGCTGCTGCCATTGCTGCTGCCGAGCTCGGCGCGGGTGGGCAGGACACGGGTGACACGCCCACGCCGCCCGCCCCGCCCTCCCGCCGACGGGGAGCAGCCGGCGCCGATGCTGCCCGGGCCACGGAAGCAATTTTTTTGCGTTCGTATGACACACCATAGAGACCAGCAAGCAGCACTGGCTGCAAGAACGAGGGAGGTTTTGGAAATGGTTGAAGGACCCGCGGGCACCTCGAAGATCAACGCTTATCGGCGGAGAGAGACAATAAAACCCACCCTCCCAAAGCATCTCTACCTAAAGGACTAGAGCAGGGGAAGGATAGTAAGGGTATTAAGGCGAGGTACCTACGATAAGGGGGATAGCTCAAGCCTCTCTGGATATTGGATATCCAAAATGAAGCAAAAACATGCAAGGGAAGAAGCGAGAGCACCTTGCCACCATCACACCTCCCTCCCCTTCGGGCACTAAGCTCCAGGGCCCCGAGGGAGGGGTAAGGACCCAGCCTGCGTGCGGCAGGGGAGGGCAGGGGGATGCTTTTCTCACCCAGCAGGAGAACGTTCTTCCCCGAAGGCAGCTTAGAGCGGGACCGCGTGGACACCTCACTGAGGATGCAGGACCTGGGGTGGAGAGACGGCAACGCTCAGGAGGCGGGGGCAGTGCCTGTGTGTGTGTGTGGGGGGGTGTCCCGCTTCCTCCCGGCTCCCCATCCTTCCACCTCCCGTGTGGGGGGAAGGCGTGAGGGACGGGGGGCAGGGCAGGAGTCACCACTGCCAAGAGGAGGAGGCCCCCCCTCAGCTGAGGGACTGAACGCCAGGAGGGGGAAATAACCAGCCCCCCACCCCCCTCCGCAGCCTTCCCTCCCCCCCCCCCCCCAGGGCAAGGAGCCGCTGCGAGGGCGGTAACGGTCAGCGTGCGCCCGGGTCCCCGGCCGCGGGGCGGGGCGGGCGGTTACCAAAGGTTCTGCCCATCGTCCTCATCGCCGCCTGCCCGCAGCTCCGCGTTGTTGTTGGTGGTGGTGGTGGTCGCGGCCGTGGCGGCGGACGAACCGAGCCCGGCCGAAGAGGAACCGAAGGAACCGGCTCTCCCCACCGCCGCCGCCATCTTCGCCGCCTCCTCCCTACCCCGCCGCCTCCCTGAGAGACGGGGCGGGCGGCGGCGGCGCGGCGGCTGACAGGAACCCGGATGTTGGGAAGTCGAGGGGCGGGGCCCGGGGCGGGGGCCCGCGCGCGAGCGCACCTTCCCCTTCAACCGCTCTGGGCCGGGGGCGTCGCGCCCGCCTCCCCTCAGCCCGGGCCCGGGGGAACCGCAGCTCCCGCCCTTCGCTCGGGGTTTTTAGCGGCCGCCCCGGGAGAGGGGAGCGAGTGTCTTTCGTTCGGGCTGTCTTCGGTCCCGCTCCCGGTGAGGTGAGGGGAAGGGAAGCGGCCGTCGTCCGCCTCGGTGACGGTTGCCGCTGCGAGGTGTTGCTGTGGGGCCGGGAGCGGCGGCTGCGTGCGGAGTGCCGTTTGTCCCTTAGGCAAGCCCCAGCCCTGAGGGAAGCACCTTGCATCCAAAAAAAGTAAGTGCGGCTAGGGGTGAGACATACCTTTTTTGGGGGGGACTTAATGGTTTTATGTTTTCCGAGAGGCCTGCCTGTTACTTGTTCTCCTCTCCTATGTATTGCTTTAGAGTTGGCAAAAAACTCGGTCAAATCACCAGCGCTTTCACAACTCAACTCTTGCTAGAAGTCTCAGAAGAAGCAAGCAAGCATGTAGTCTTTTCCCTCACAGAGGTAACGTGTTTGCTAGGGTAACATGAACGGTTTTACATTCCATAAAAATTTGATGGATGAGTTTTGTCCGTTCTATTCAGGAAAAACGTAACATAGGACATTTCCTTGTATGCCTCCCTTCCAAACAAAGGATGTACATTCCCAGAGCCTCTGGATATATAGAAAGGTAGTGACGATATTAGAAATTTAGGTATGCTAGCAGTTTGTACTTCAGTTTTTTCTTACAGCTGTGTTTATTTTTTTTTTTTCCCCAGAAAAGACTGCTTTTTAAGTAATGATTTAAAATAGGAAAGAAATGAACCATTTTTTTAAACCACATGTTTCTCTCAGTGGCTTTCTGTTGCTTTGCAACCCAAACTGTGGACATTCCCTTCATATGTTGTTTTAGTAGAGAATAGATGTTGGAACTTGCAGGTCACCATTCATAAAAGTAAATTCCAGTAAGGTCCTTTAGGTATAAAATAGCTAAAACAACAGTAGCCATATACTAAGTTACAGGTACTTGTTGTTACATGCACAGTTATTGGTTGGGAGTATTTTGTTGTGAACAGAATGCAGATGCAGAAAACTGGCAAAGTTTTGGTGGAAATGTGTCACCAAGTAAACAGTGAGCACCAAATGCAGGGCTGCTGCTGAAAAGCCACAAAAAAATCCCCCACTTGCTGCGTAACCCTACGTTTTCCCAAGAGAGCAGAGCAAATTAGCTTCACACAATTGAAAGAGGGAGTTTCTGCTCCCCTCTTTTCCCATCTCTCCATATGGCCTGCGATGAATTCCTTCTTCTGTTATCTCTGGTTTTCATCCTTGTTGGGTCAACTGACTTAAATCACTAAAAAAGCAGAAAATTGACTACTAGAAAGGTAGAAGAACTCGTCCAGTTTAACGAGTTGAATCGGCTGGTGGAAAGAGTTTGAGGAGTGTTATAGCCATAACAAATGGTGGGCAACAGAACTGACTGGAGAGTAAGGAGATAAGGAGCAGAAGGAAGAAGGAGTTTGAATTTGAAAAGCAGTGGGGTGGGAATGTCCTTTCACTGACAGCAAACAGATCAGCTAGGCTGTAGGTCAAGTTGCAGTTCTAAGAGAAAGGAAAAAACAAAACAAAAACAAACAAAAAACAGGTTCTGTAATAGATTTCTTAACCGAAACAAATTCCAAGAGTCCAAACTTTAGCTACCTATTTCAATCAAAACAGATAACATTGGTTTTAGCACAATTTGACAAATAGATTGCTATTTGTCTGGGTGTGTGGTCTTGATATTTTTGTGAAGCTGTAGTAAAAAGTGGAAAATATATAAATTTCAATGGTTTAGCTTTTACCATGTCACTCAAAGGCACTGAAAATAACAAGAGTTTTAAGCTACTTCACGTTGCTTATTATTTTAAATGATGTTCCATATCATATTTTTTGCATGTGAGCTATGTTAAATTGAGGTATGTAAATGATATTCCCCTAGGATTTTTTTGAAACCAGAATGTGTATGACAGCAAGTAATATTTAAATACGTGAAAGTAGTAGAAAATAAAAGGCTACATGGAAGAATGATAAGAAGAGCATATTGCTTTGTGCTGAGTAGGGAACATATTGATGTTGAGAAAAGATGGTGCAATTTTCCTGCTCTGCTTTTATAGAGGCTAATGTTCCTAGCTGGAAAAAAAAATGATCTGATGATTGTAAACCTACTAAAGATAATTCACAGCAAAAGAGAGTCCACCTATTTTCTTTCTCCCCTCCTCCTTCCCCTGACATTCATTCACAACAGAGTCTTTTTAAGGTGGCTTTCACTGTTTCATCCTCTTGTAATGGAGGATTTTGCTGTGTGCCTTAGAGAGATGTGTACAATCAAAATTCTCTTAGGATTCACTTACCAGATTGTCATACCTGACAGTTCTGATGAAGGTTGTGTGGTATATTTGCTAGCTCTACCACAAGCAATCCCTCCCTCCTATTCTACCTCCTCTCCATTTTATTTCTCTCTCGGAAGCTGCAGAGCAGAAGGTGAAAATGGAAATGCTTGGTCATCATACTCTCAGGTTAGGTTTTAAAAAAAAAAAAAAAAAAAAACCAAGATGGAAACAAAAATGTTGAGGGAATCAAGTCTTCATCTACTGTGCAGTATGCTGATACAGTATCTCAAATTATTCATAGGGTTAGCTGTGCAGCGTGATAGGAAGAGGAAATTTAGGAAAAGCCTGTAATAAAGATGAAGCAACCATAGGAAGGGGGGGTGGGAAATCAGTAAGACATTATTTCCTTTCCTCCACTGTAAAATAATTTTCTGTCTGGCAAAATGGTCTTGTGAATGTATGGGAACAACCGTTCCATGCAGCCTTTTCCAAAAGGTAACTGTGAACAGGAACTGATGTTAATGATGCCCAGCAAACACATAAGCCTCATTTTCTCCAATCTCGCTCAACTTGTAGCTATTTATACAGACACATTATATATAAGGTCCTCCCTGACTATCAAACTGTAAGTTTTAAAGTATGTTTTCTTACTAAAAACTACCGTTCTGATCTGATAGTATCTTATACCCAGTCACTGTTACACTTGTAGAGGTGGGTGTAGAAGACAGACAAAGATAATGAAGAATCTGGTCAGTCCACCTTGATGAGAAATAATATTGTTTCAGCTGTTGATTGTTAGCAATGGTTTTAATTTGAAAAAACATTGCCAATGGCTTAACCACATGCATGCGTAAGGGCAAACCGCAACAACATCTCACTGGCAAAATAATGCTGTTTCCTAATACAGGCATGATCTGCATCCCTCTGTCAGCTGCCCTGGGGTGATGCCAACGTGCAGACCCTGAGAGGGAGTCAGCTGTGTTGTCGTGAGCTAGCTCTGCCGTGCTGACCAAGGAGGGACCAACAGGGAAAGACACCTCCTGTGCACAGCTGGTTAGTGACTGCAGGAATGGAGTCTTGGTCTCTCTCCTATTCTGTGCCTTTTCTGTTTCTGATGTGCTTTGATTATTCTGTACCCCTCTGCTTGTTCTTAACACAGGGACTCCTTGTTGGCTGTCTCTCTTCACGTATAAACTTTTGTCTGTTAGCATTGTATGAAATCTAAAAAGTAATTGGCCAGCTTCTTTGCCTGCATGTATTGTCAAGGCCAAATACTATAAAATTGGTTGCAAATTTAGAAGGCGTTTTTTTCATAAGCTGATGGAAATTAATGGTTATAGTTCAATTACATTTAAAAGATCCATTTTGGGTTGTTAGAGAAATTTTGCCCTTAAGGCAAAACTGTCTTCTTATCAACGTTGACTTTGTTGTTGAAACCAAAATCATAAAGGTCACAGTGCTAAATGCGTAGTAGTAGTTCACTGTGCGGAAAGCATCCCTTTGAAAAGGCAGCAACAAAGAAGCAGAATACATAGAATTTCCAACAAGATGTTTTGTTGCCTTTGGCTGTAGTTTATTAAAAAGTACAAAACTAAACCTTAAAAAGAGTAAGACAAGTGTGATTTGCCATTATTTATTGATCTGAATTTGTGTGCAATTAACATTCAGACAGCATGCATGAAGACAGTAATGATTTTTGAAAGTGCCTTTTTTGTAGTATTAGCAGCTAGTCATCTGAAACTTATTCCTGAAAGTGAATTACTGATTATTTTCTTGTTTGCAATGCTCAAGTCATTGTCAGGAAATGAAAAAAAAATAATTGTATGACTTAGCTGAATAGTTGACAGTAGCACAAATTGCGAGTGGATAACAGTGACACAGAATTAATATTTCAATCTGTGAGCTGAAATTTGTTAATATAAACTGTATGGATAATACTTAGGAATAACAAATGCATTTCAGGAGACTTAATGGGATCAATCAATAAGAAATATTAGACTATGACCAGTTTTGTGTATCATTTTACCAAGTATAAGTCTTGTTATTCAGCCAATAATGTTTTTTGCTGGTTGCTCTGCAGACCATGCAGCAGTGTACCACTTCTAAATTTATTTTCTACATACTGCACTGTAAATTTTTAAGATTGTGCAGGGCTAACTAATTTTATGAAGCAGAGTATTATGACCTGGTGCAAAGGAGACAATGACTGTTTTATTTCACAGAGACAAAGCTGTATTTCTTTAATCTAAATTTGTTGCCATTCTGCAGCAGATGCAAGAGAGCACCTTAAACATGTTCAGGTACACCCTGAAATTTACTTGGAATCGGTGGGATTTAAAATGTGCTTTACATGTCTGGCTGATGATTAAAAAATATGTGCTTGCCATGCATTTATAGATCATAACTATGCAGGATCTGGTCAGCTGCATGCCCTTACTTCCCATTGGGAGACCAGGTGTATTCCGTCTCTAGGCACATTCGGCTCTTTCAGGTCTACACGATGTGAGTATCATTGATCATTTGGTCTGAGTTTCTTCAAAGAGAGAAATGTCTTAGCTAATTTTTTTTAATGCAGTACTGTTTATTCAGAAGAGAAACCCCACCACAGATGAATAGTTTCTCCAACACTTTAGAGACAGTCAGCAGCAGATACTTCCTTGTGCATTATTTACAATTCTGCTCCCTTAAATCACCTCTTTACCTCAGGGAGCTGAGTGACTCTTCTCAAGTAGTTGGTTTGTTTTATACTGGCTTTTTGATTGTCAGATGTCATGGCTACTTGGATAGGTTACCATGAAACAAAGAAGGATGTGTGTTTGTGGTGTGGTAGCTACTTCATGCATGTTATCTCAAGGTATATGTGAAGAAATTTGTATTTGCTCTGCCTTCAGTAGGAATGAAATAAGATATCTTCCATTTACTGCAAAATAAGAGTGTTCATAGAGACAATTACTGCAAAGTAGCTAAAAAAGTGTAAACCTGTACTCGAGCTACCTTGCAATAATTTATGTAAATATGCCCTTTTATGCAGGAGTTGCCAAACTGCCTCCTAACTGATCTGTTGTGAGCTCTACAAGACCGGCTTCTAATTGGTTGTTTCCCTGTGGCCCAGTCCTTGGATGGTATTTCCAACACTATTTATAAAAACCTTAAAAGGGACTGTTTAAAAATTTTGAGTTCTCCTTTGAAGGCACTGAACATTTTCAGCTGCCACTAAAGTAATCATTCTAGAGTGCTTAACTTTGGAAAGAAATATTCTGGTTATGTGGGTATTGTATTAAAGGTACTGGATCTAGGTTTTCATCATCTCAGTGGCTTTAATGATTTTGAAACCTACTCCAGTCTTATCCTGCCTTGTCAGAGGAGAGACTACTTGTTACTTACCAAAAGACATCTATATTTTCAGTTTGCTATCCATTAAAAAGCAAAAACTTTGGAATATTTTGTTTATTTACACAAACCAATGCAATTCTCTCAATTTTTCCAATTAAATGTCTAGTTACTGAAGGTCTACAGAGTTCAGAAATACATATATATATATATATATATATATATATATATATACACACACACACACACACACACTTCCTTAAACTACTGCCTTAGAAATTGCTGTTTTAACCAAGTGGTATGTTGTTTCATATGTTGGAGGAAGATACTCTTTTCCATATTTATCTTCCTTTGAATTGTGAATGATACCTCTGATAAGGATGATGTTCTTTTCAGTGAAACTGCTTGTTAAAATGATCCTCATCCTCAGAACTGTGTAAATGGATGACTTTGGTTAGTATGATCAAGTTATGAATGTAAGCCTAACCTGTACTCTACTCTCTGTGAATTGATAGAAAAATGCAGCCCAAGTAGACAATGAACAAAAATGGCAGTATGGAGAATTGCCTTAGAATAGCCTCACAGTGGTTTAGGATGCTTTTTTTTTTTTTTTTTTTTTTTTTTTTTTTTAAGAAAAGTTATTAATGTAATGAGAGGGGAAATACTGGCAGTTGGCAGTAAGAGTTCTCACTTAAAAGCAAACCTTAAAGGAATAATACATCCAGTAAACAGCATTCTAAAGGTTCTTTAAAGTAAAAAGAAGCCTGGGTTTGGGTTTTTCGACTTTTAAGTCCTGAAGAAATCTATCCTTATGTTGTATTAAGAGATGTTACATGCAAAAACAATTAGCAGAACTGCACCCAGAGTGCCAATAAGATGTATTATCCAGAAACTTTTAAGATATAAGGCAACATTTAAGAAGAGGAAGAAAAAAAAAGATTCAAGTCATGAGTGGAGAAAATCAGATTTTGGCACCAGGCATTTGTAGCTGTCCTTGAGATAAGAGAGTAATGGGGCAGGGCCATGTGATGGCCCTTTGCCTGACTGGTTAAAAGTAAACACTGTACATGCTTCATAAGCATCACTCCCTTTTACATGTGGGAGGATAGAAAAATCTACGCAGGAACAGATGCTCTGCTCTTGTCCCTTTCACAGCACCCTCCCAGGTTCTTACCCCCCTGCTCTTCGCTCAGTAAAGCTACGCTCAAGTGAAAGGCCTCAGTTTAATTCTTAATCCCTATATGATGAGAGCAGGTCTATGGATGGATCTGAGGATTAACTGGAGTTTTAAAATAATGTTAATTTTATCTGTGTTTAAAAGTATGTGATTCAGGCTTTTATATAAAAATAAAATAAATTTAAAAAACAAACCAAAATATTTTAGAGATCTGTTTACTCACAGTAAAATAATGAATCTTGCACCTCATGTCTAATAAAAAAAGAGTTTCTCATTACTTTGGTAAGAAACTTGCCAGTGTAAAGAAGAAGGATCAAATCTTACTTCAGGAAGTGCTGTGCTGTGGAACTGAATCACAGCAAGAATACCTGAGTGAGTAGAAGTATCAAAGAAAAGAAAGGAAAGAAAGATTCTTCTTTTATTCATCATGGCATATCCTATAAGAAATTCAGACTTTTTTTGTCAAAAAACTTTTTTTTATAGTTGTCCAGCATTCTGTTTCTCACTGAGGGTTGTGGGGTTTGTTTGCGTATTTTTTTCTCCAAATTCTTTGCAAACTGCCGATTTAGCATCTGTCTTTATGATGATGATTTATGGTGGGCACTTGCTGACCCCTGACTGTAGGAATACAGTAAAAGTATTTTAGCTAGGTACTGTGAAGGCTTTTAAATGAATGTTGATGGTTATTAATTCAGTGCTCTGCGTTTTGGAAAGAGATTAACAGTGGCACTTCAGTTGAAGAATTTGTCTGGTTCACATCCCATTACGTTCAAATTGCATCTGAAATCTCTGACTGCCTTTCCTTTAGAAAAACATTCAATATGCTAGACAGGAACATAGTATCAGCATACCTTCTTGCATAGGTATAGGGATTCAGGGGTGGTGAGGTACGTTGTGGGGCTGATTCTTCTTTTGACTTGAACTAAATCAAGTGAAAACTCTCTTAAGCCAGAGGTATTGCAGCAAGGCAGAATGAGTGTGAAAGGATAGTCAAACACAGAGACTTTCTGCAGGCTGCTTTCTCTTATTCATTCATTGCTTCAACATGTGAGGAACACAGAAGCCAGGTACAGTGCCAATGGGACATCCATCATGATGGCAGAAAGGGAAGGAGGAAGTACCACTGCCCTGCTTCCGCCACTAAGCAAATACAGGTATCTCTCTCTGATTACATATCTGATTTCAGAAATGTGTTATAGATTTCCAATATATATGTTAAAGACTGCAAGTTGTAGCCGTTATAAATTACTCTAAACATTTTGTGGTTTCATATTGTGGTAAATACATATAGTCTGCATATTTGACTTATAGTAATATTTTGCCTTGCTTTCATAAGAATAAATATGCGTATACAGCTATTATTGTTATGTGGTTATATTAAATAACTACATTTAAATTTGTGCAGAAAGCCACACGTTTTTTTTTAAACAAATCTCAATTTTAAATATTTTTCAGGATGTCATTTCTCCTAATCTACTGTGTGTTTCACACTCCTTTTCCTTTCACCATTTCTAATTATAAGATATGAATGTACCTCATCGTCTCA